TTCATCAGTCATTTTTAACAATTCATGCACTCTCATACCCACTGCAAGTGCGACATGGGTTTGTGCCTGTAAACTAATTCAGCTCACATGTTTCAAAACCGTCGCTTCTTACGAGGCGTTTGGCGCCAACGTAAGTTCCCGATCAACAGTTATTAAACCATCCCTTTCCTAATGATTTAATCTTCTTACCTTGGAGATGTTCCATGGCCTTTTGGTTCTTGCTTCCGCGATCTAAATAAATCGTTAATCATCACAGAAATGTTTTTTTTTTTCAATTTAAATCTCAAGAGATTATGATCTGTTCTCTTAGTTTATCAAGTTTCTAAAAAACGTAGCTACCAGCGCGAAGGTAATTACGTCATTGTTATTGTTGGTGTTCATGTTCATAAAGATACATGCATAACGATCGTGACCTTTAGACTTATACTCCCTACACTGATAATTCACACGATAAGGTTGCTACGCAATACGTATATAGAAATGAATCATAATGTCATATTTGCTTTGCCAATTCATATCGTCTACCAGCATCTACAAATGATGCTATAGACTTTGACTCAGTTACTCAAATACAGTGAACTATTAAGGAAGACTTTTAGGGTCTGAACCAGTATACATTCTTAATCGTCGGGAATCCCTTAACATAATTAGTGCATTCCTCAATGTACTACTGTATAGCAACTGCCGACTTACCTTTTACTTTTTCTTTCCTTTGCTCGCCTGTAGCTAGCTTTCAGTTTACAGTGAAAGTATATCCATTTTCTTTCTTTCCCCTCCCCCTCTCTCTCTCTCTCTCTCTCTCTCTCTTTCCCACCCCCTCTCTCCATTTCTTTATCCCACGTTATTATCACTCTTATCGTCCCCTTTTGTACATGGTCTCTTCTCCCCACCCTTTTTTATTACTCAGTTAAACCATGTTTATAATCATATGGTTATAGTTTAGAGTCATTTGTTTGAGTACTTTAGCGCCTTTTACGAACATTTCTTGTATTAATATATTATATAACCAGGCTGTTCTTGTTGTTGTTGTCTATATGTTATTGTTTTTGAGGGACCTGACCTCTACAAGCTAATAAAATAACTTGGACATAACTCCCCCCCCCCCTTATTCCCAATAAACCGAGATTGGGCGACGCTCCTGTTAAATTATGTAATTTTCAATGTTAAGCAGTGACCTAGCCAGAAATGTTTTCGTTTTATAGTTATATATATGGAAATTTACATTTGTAGAGCACTTTCGATCATGGAGTCAAATCAAAGTCTGCCCTTGACAATCATCCTATTCTCTCTCCATGATTTTATTTTTGTAACGTCTATCTGATGGTCGCTTAGAGGAATTCTTTTTTACAACTTTTCGAACTTCAGGGGGACAACCCCTTTTCCTCGGAGAAGCATTCCCCGTCCCCCTTTTGCCTATTGCCTTTCTACAGCTCTTGTAAACAAATGATGAAATCGCCACGTATTTACCTACGTTCTTCAGTTTCATTACCGATTCCTAAGATAAAGCTACAGAGGGAACGTGTAGCTGACGAGCGAATATTTTCCATTTTTGGAGACTGACAATTTACTTTATTGAGCACTGATTAGGCCCATAATGAAATATAGTCACAACTACTTTATCACCAGTTCATTAACAAATATATATAATTTTCAGAAATATGGGGGATAATTCCATAACGATTATTAAAAAAAAACCTAAAGTACGCCCTCTCCTTTATCCGTCTATTCTTACTTTTTAATTAATGATTGTTCTTGTCTCCCATCCGTTTTGAAAGAAAAGGTCATAGTAATGTAGCTAAAGTCGTGGTAATAACAACCAAAACCCCGTGGAAGCACTTACAGATGTTTTAAAAATGTGATGACATACTATACAAAAACCGAATGATTTATCTTAACTTTTATCATGCCACAGGGCTAACCCTGGTTTAATGTAAGCGTGAACTAAGTACCGACTATTGATTCAAGACCAAATTGACCAAGTTATCTAAATTCCTAGAATACATTTGCTTGTATTTTTTTAAATAACTATTCGAACAAATAGTCGTACACGCCGCGTTAGAGTGTCTCGTTCAAAGGCTAAGTTGACAAATATATTTTGAAGGGAAGTCCACCCTTATATTAACTTAGTTTCAATGAAATAAGAAAATGAGAGAAAGAAGTTAGTGAAGGTTTCAGCAACATCCGATTAAAAATAGGAAAGCTATGAATTGTTTAAGTTGTCGTCAGTGAAACGCAAATTGGCAACACTGTGACGTATATTTGCTCTGTACAGAATGTTCATAAACTTTCATTTTCTTAGGAATTGATGAAGGAATATCCCAAAAATAGTACAGGGGTTGTATAAAGACATATTTCAATATTGTAATTTAAGGCGAATGTATGATTGAGAATTTTCTAAAGGGAAAATGTAAACTTTTGAAGTTGTATTAGTACAGGGTGAATGGGAGGGGAGCTCGCAATATACGTCACAGAATTGCTAATTTGTGTTTGAGTTATCGCACCTTTAAAGGTACTATGTCCCATTTGCAGGCCAAAAAAATGAAAAAGTTAAATTCCAACTGCATTTGAAAGGTAATACTTATTTAGAACTTCCCTAAAAAAGATGGGGCTTGAAAATGTCTTCAAGTGGGAAAAAAATGACTATAAGCTGTCAAATCGACTTTAGGGCTATAGAGCCTAAAAGTAATAGTCTTGATTTTCAGACAATTGTACCGAATGGTCATACGTTTTATGCTGCGCAAAGATTCGATCAGTTTAATCTTGGCCATCACAAGAGTTGGGTTATTGATGTAGAAAAATGCTCATGTACCCTTTACAACTCTTTTCGTTTATGTTATTACCAAAGAAGAAAAAAGCCAGTCAGTCACTCAATAGTGTCTGACAGTGAAGTCTAGCAAGTAAACGGGTTTCCTTGCATAATTTGAATATGAGGACACTGCTGACGTTTAAATTTCACAGATAGGACATACATGACATATTCATAATTCCTGCAAAGTTCTTCCGAATTTGAGGTTGGCTGCAAAAGGGACATAGTACCTTTAACAATTAATAACAACCTAATTTTTATCCAGATTTCGCTAAAACTTTCACTGACGTCTTTCTGTTATGTATGTTCTTCTATTAAAGGGAATTCGTGACATTGTTCAGATAGTAGAAAATGGTGCTATTAAAGGTAGTGTCTTTAATGCTTTAAAGACAACCTAAAAGTTTGAGTGAAAACGGACCATTATTAATGATAACAATTGGGAAAAACTTGGAGGCTCAAAGAATCATGGGTCAAGCTTGAGCCCAAAAGCGCTCCTTCCCCTTTATAACGGTTAATTCTTCTTAAGTGCATTTTTTTTTAATTGACGCTGTTATATATCATTCAATTATCATTATTATTGCAAGCAAAATGCAAAGATACGTGGTTTATGATTCAACGTACAACGTCCAAAGTCTATATTTGTATACTTTTTACATTATATTTGCATTTACCTGTACAGAAAAACCATCTGTCTTTCAAGATCTCATTCTTTGTTTATATTGTAATGTGTTTTCATTGAAACATGTATAAAAGAAACCTGTATATAAAGCCTATTTGGTAATAAAGGCAGATGTTCTCCGTCCCTATTGAGCGGTATTTATATACAGGTTTTACTGTAGTAATTCAATGATAACATTGGATTAAGTGAATTTTGTATGGATATCGTAGGCATTTAAGGCATTACTAATTTTCATTATTAAAAAATATAGATTTTGCCGATAATAACTTATATATAATCTATGCAATCGATTATTACTCGGTGCTTTATATACGATAATTGTTTTTCATTATATCAATCTAGCCTTAAACGATTGCAAAGACTTTATAAATCATCTATAAGAATTATCTTAGCCATAGGAAGTTTTTTTTTAAGTCTGTTGGATACGTCGCTGGACTGCGAACCACGTGGTTCAAGGTTCGAGTCCCATATCAACCACTCCTATCAAATCAAAAGCTATACGGAGTAAAATCTTTCCCTGGATATCCTCTCATCTCTCTCTCTCTCTCTATCCAACTCACATACACAGAGAGAGAGACACACACACACATACACATTCTCTCGCGTACATGTCACATTATGGTAATGAGTAGAAAGAACGAAAAGGAATTTTCCAAGTTAGTTTTTCAAACGTTTTATTCTCATTAAAGAGCATTAGGAGCACACACAGAAGCCTCGTTATACATGAAAATGGAATCAAAAATATTTGTATAAGAAAAATAAATGTGTACAAAAGTTTCCTGAAAATAGAATATAGGTAAGCAGACTTGCATTTTAGAAAGATACAAGCGAAATGTGTTTTATTGTCTTCAAGATTCAAATAGATTCAAATAATTGTATTTCTCATACAAAACATAATAAAATGAATACGTATATTACAAACAAATGAAATGAATGAGGAACTAATTAGAAGCAGAGCTTGCTGAAGTATTACTTCCTCAAAGGCTAATTTACACACGACCGGCCACGACACATATGTTAATTACATTATAAAGCTACTAATATCATCGGGATACAGGCAAACACACTTCAAAAATATGTTCTCAGTCCTTTCCAATCGAAACTTACGTGATTTACCATGATTAAATATAATTCATAAAAAACACACTTTAAGAAAGGTAACACCACAAGGGGTGTATGCATCACCACATCATAAGAAGAAAAAAATCGGATATATACAATATGCATCAAAACTTAACACAAAGATATAAAATAATGTAACCTTTCTTACAGAAAAGTTAAAGAAAATCTTCAACTACTAGAATTATACATTTGCATATTTATACTTGTTTACATACTTTTTTTTTAAGAGCTTCCAGGTACGTTGTGGAACTTTCTATCAGATCGTGGTTTCTATCACGACGCTCAAAACTTTTCGAATTTACTTCCAAAATCGTAAAAAAAATAAAATTACAGTGCTTCCTAGAACATAAAGTCGAAGCCTGATAACAAAAATTTAGTGTTTACAAAGAGTATGTGACATTTTATGTTTTCTTGTTTTCATACAGTAGAGGCAATACGCTTTCAAATGAAGCATTTGTTACATTAATCCATGCACACTTCACCGATCAACATTGTTTTAAAAAAATTGTATTTGTGGTTGAATTTGCTTAAACTATGAAAATGTTAGGATATCGTACCAACGTTAAGGATTATGACCTGAACGAGAAACAAGCTTAACAATAAAACAATAAGAGGAAGGATTTAATTTTCCTCTTTTAATAGTGGAGAAATGAGTAATGACGTCATAAAATAAAGGATAGTGGATTATTGTCCATGGTGAAGGTAATAAGGGCATAAGTAGTACCCAGATCGGTCTGCAATTGTCACGAACATTGTAACATCATCATTAATGCTATGTTGTATCATGTAAATCATACGATATGTTGTACAAGTTGAGGCTGTTAGTCTACATCTGACTTGCACTCATATCTTAGTCCTCCGAGGTCGGCTTTCAATAGAGCGTCATCAAGTTTTTGTGTAAAACCACCTGTCTTTGTACTCCAATTTTTCAATATTTCTTCAAACGCATCAATATAATTTGATTGATATTTGGTTAAGATGTTCTTAGAGTAGTTGATGTCAAATCCCAAAGCTACGCCAAATTCGGTGTAATTGCCATGGGGCATTTTTTTGGCTAATGCTATGATTTCTCCATCGCTAATTTTCCTTTCGTCAGACCTGTAAAATTGAAAATGAAAGGCAATTAAGATCAGCATCATTGTTGTTGTTGTTGTTCGTTTGGTATTATAATGGCTATTAGTCAAATTTGACTATTGTTGCCAATTTCATCGCATCTCTTTCTTTTAATGTCTTGGTAAAATTATTATTTCTTTCTTTCTTTTTCCAATCTCATTTTAATATAATATTAGTCATAGTCTACAAAAAATAAAAACAAAAAATTATTTCAAATTAAACCACGATCCGCACACAGTTCCAACTCACGCTGGCCCTGTCCTTTCTATGATGCCTTCTTACCAGCCCAGCGAGTTATGTTACGCCGTACGCTTCTCGGTTGATAAACTCAACCTAGGTCACTCTGGCATAGACAAGGGGGCGTCGTGTACCTGTATGTTTAGAGGGTTTATTTATTTATTAGGAGAAAGACAACTGCATAAGCAAAACACTTGTGGGCTTTATTAGTTTATATGAGTTAGTTCATGAGATTATTTATATAGCGCATGACTTTTAACTACTATAATCATTGGGGGGTGACATGCTTTCGAGTAATGATATAGCAAGTTTTAATTGCTTTTTTTTTTTTTTTAATAAAACGTGGCCAGCAGATTTCATGTATCCTTCTCTCTCTCTCTCCTCTCCACTTCCCTAAAGTTGTGTGTATGTATTAAGATATGTTTTTCGATTGGTCAAATAAATAATGATAAATTGTTTCAATCATTATTTTTTTTTAAATTAAAAGAGGCCTAAATAAGATATATAGGTCTATACGATCAAAACTTCAAATAAGACACTAATACAGGTGTAGGCATAAGGTTATACACAAAATACCTATTTTCTCTTCTATTCAGCTCAAATTGATCGGTTTCTGTTTTTCATCTCTTTTTGATTAAAAGCTTACCGTATCTTTAAAGAAGCACTTAATAAAAAAGAGAATACTCCCACAAACATAAACTCGGTATAAGTATATTCAAAACCCCTCTGTACTTAATACTTTGTACTTATGCTTTGATAGCTATTTAGAGGCAATATTGCGGCAACTGTTTAGATACTGAAATTGATTTTTGTTTCTATTTAATGTGCTCTATCCTACTCATATTATGTAGTTCCGTCTATAGTGATTTCATAGCATTATATCATTGAGTACATAGTTCGCCATTAAGATTTTATTTCAATTTGATGTGGCTCCTTACAAGCTTACATTAATATTAATATCATTATTTTTATAAGTACCAGTAGTAGTATCAGTAGTAGTAGAAGAAGAAGTAACAGTAGTAGTTGTAGTATTAGTATCGTCATCATCACCATCATCATCATCATATGTTTAGCAAACCAGTCAACAGAAATATCCTTTTTCTTAATTTCAGGCTAAGTTGAACATATCAGTCAATGGTTATTTTACAAATAACGTTTTATTACTTAGCAATGCTTATGATACACAAAGCAAAGACAAAGCAGATTATTCATTTGAAATGCATAGAGTTATCATGTGATAACATTTTGGGCAATAAATATTATCTTGGAATTTATCAGTAAAAATTCTTTGAATTGAAGAAGACCTAAGATATTTTGCAGTATATGAACATACTGTACCTGTTCACGATTCCTTCCTGTGCTTCGGTAGGCGGTTGTGGCAGATTTGAGTTATCAACTGTGGAAAGCCAAACGTTATAGTGTTATATTGACAGAAATCCGGGCCCTGTTTCATAAAAGCTAGAATATACAGTGCGTCCCAGAAAAAAAACGAAACCATGAATTATCGATGTTTTATCATACCTTTATCACAATTATTATTAATAAATGACACATATTTGTAAAGCTTAGAGCCTCCTCTTTCATTCGAAGCCACCCATGTAATACATATTTCACGCATGACTAATTAAAAATAATTTGAAGAGAGGAAACCAAAGAGTCATTTGGCGGGCGGTAACTGAATTTCATAGCGAAAACAAATTTCAGAAAGTTCATTTTCTGCCCTTTCATATGTATCTTTTAATAATAAAAAGCCAATTATTTTTGGAGTGGACTCTGGAAAATAAACTTTCTGAGTAAAAAAATAACTTTCATATAATTCCATTTGTCGAATTATCGTGATGTGCATTTTCTAGTTGATAGGCGGCTTGATTTTCTTAAGCAAGGAATGGCGCTCTTCTTTGTTGTGGTTTGAATAAACATATGTGCTAACAAAGTGTTGCTCGTCGTTGGACATCCGTAAGAACAGTACAATGAAAAGGGGAAACATACAAACAAAGTATTTTTTTTTTTCCTTTCTTAATCATTACTTTAGAAAACTTTAAATGGTCTTACCATTTTCATCTTCGGAACCATTCTTTGCTGGTGTTTCAAGTAGTTTAAATCCTTCTGTTGACGTTACTTAAAGAATCATTGGATGAATACAAAAGCATTTTTGACCATAATAGAATATCTTATCTTAGTATATGCATGACAGAATAATCATCTAGTTCCTTTTAATCAAAACCCTAAACTGATGCCCTGTTCTAAAAGTGAGTACTGAAAATACAATGAAAAGATGACATTTCACAATTGTATGATGATTATGTAAAATCAAGAAGAGCGATCAGGTAATATAATTTCAAAAGGTGGCATGATCTGTTGCGTTTTAGCCTATTTATGCACCAAAATAGCATTAAAAACTAAATAACTATATATATATATATATATATGTCAGAGTTGAGAATTCTCACACTTTTATATATACATATAGGTATATATATGAAATAGATAACATTCCAAACGACGATCTGATTTCACCATGATTCCATAATTATGAACTTAGGTCTAAACTATTCCATCATGCCGATTTTTCGACAAACATTTAAGATCCAGTAGCAGCTCATGCGACATCAATTTCAAACCGTATCTTTGACCAAACCCTAACCCTTAATATCATAAAGCCAATCCACCTAAAAACAAATATAGCCAAGTCCAAAATCCCTATTCTGACGAAATGAATTACCGAGCAGACTTCGGGCCATATTTAAAGTAACGTAGTATACATACCTGGATCGGCTTGGACCACCTTGCTGTTTTGTCCATCTCTTTTGGAGCAGCAGTGACCTTGAAAACAAATGTAAATCTTAGCATTATTGTTCATATTTGTATTGCATCTACGTAAATGTAAAGAAAAACACATAAAGACAAACCTTTTTTTATAATTCCACAAATAACTATTTCCCGTCCCTAAATATAAAAAAAAGCAGACGGAAAATATCCTAAAATATTTATGTTAATAAAATATACACCTATCACGATATACAAATTTACCCATTAAAAGGATCGTTGAGATATAAATGGGTAAACTGCACAGAAAAGGTGGACACAATAGCTGCGTGTTTTTATTTTATTTAAATGAATGGCAACTGCGTGCGACATAGGTCTGAAAGAGGCCTAATGGGTAAAAATTGTAACACTTGTATTTTTTTTGTGTAAAATCAAACACAATTAGGGTTAACAATTAACCCAATATCGGGTTGGATTTCACCGACGAAAAGCAACTTCACTTTCAACCCAACTACATTTATTTTGAATAAAAAAAACCTAGTCCTTTTAAAATATTGTATAAAATTATGATTATGTTTTAAACTAGGAAAATAAGTTCGTCATATTTCTAATACAAGCTTACTTCGTGTTTTCAAACAATAGATGCACAGGAGAATGCCTACAATCAGCACTGTGGCAACGCTTAATGCTATTCCGACGATTGGACCATCCGTCAAATTCTTATCCGGTGTGTTTGGTTCATCTAAGAAAAGACGACAAGTTGAAAGAAAATTAATATATGGTTATTTAAGGAGGACTTCATTTATTAGGATAACCTTAGGGAGCGTCATCTTCCGAGGAGTCTGTCAAACATCTTCCTGTGTTATTAATAATGATAGTTATAATAAATAATAATAATAATGATGTTAATAACAATTGTCATAACCATAATAGTAATAATAATAATGATAATGACAAAGTTGAAGTGCAAAATAGATCGGTAAATCTCTCTTGATGCTCAGCAATACAGCTATTAAAAATTAATTGCAACTTCATGCTCACAGATATCTACACATAAATTGCTATATAAAAGAGAATGTCCTAAAATATAATATTAATAACATGAAGTCAAACATTAGTATCATAAAGCAATGCACAGAATGGCAGAGGAAACGTTATATTAATTATGTTGACCTTGAAAAAGCATTCAATAGCATCCATCGAGACAGCCTTTGGAAAATACTACGCAAATATGGGATACTAGAGCAGCTCGTTCTTGTAATTAAGAGCTTTTACAACAATTTCACATGCAGAGTTGGAAACAGTATCCATAAGTTCCAAGTGAAAACTGGAGTTAAGCAAGGATGTGTCATGTCAGCACTGGGTGATAAGCTTGGTGATGAGACAGGCAACTGAAGACCAAAAAGAGTTAAAGATGGACCCTCTTTTCTACACTTGAGGACCTCGACTTTGCAGATGATCTCGCTCTACTTTCACACACCCACCAGCATATGCAAGAAAAACATCCAGACTCAGTGATTTTGCGCAGCAAATTGGCTTGAAACAGAGGTGATGACCCTGAACATCTCGGACCCTTTACCAATTCAAGCAAACGGGAAAGACCTACCTATAACTGAGGAGGTTACTTACCTGGGCAGCACTGGCAGGCACGATGGAGGCGCAGGCAAAGACTTTAAGAACCGTCTTAATAAAACCAGAAATGCACTCAGAATGTTCAATAATATAAAAAGATCACAGCAGTATAGCACAAGACCAAGCCAAAATTGTACCAGAGCTGTGTCCTTTCCACTCTCCTGTACGGCTCTGAATGTTGGAGAATGACGAAAAACGACCTCAATAAGCTATCGGTCTTCCACACAAAGAGTCTGAGTAGAATATGCCTCATTTTCTGGCCAAATACCATTTCAAATGAAGGACTGTATGCCCAATGCCATCAAGACAGCATGGAGAACATCATCACGAGAAGAATGTGGAGATGTATCGGACATGTAATGGGAAAGAACATAGATGACATCACACGAACAGCCCTCCATTGGACACCAGAAGGCAAAAGAAAGAGGGGACGTCCTAAAAACACTTGGCGAAGAACTGTGGAAGGGGAGATTAAATACCTGAACCACACATGGAATACCATCTAAAGACTGGCCCAGGATCGGGAGGAGTGGAAGACTTTTGTTGCTGCCCTACGTGCCAGGAGGCATAATTGGCAGTAAGTAAGTAAGTAAACATTCACATCCACTTGAAATATATATCATTAAAAAATGAATCCTTCTAATGTGCAGATACAATACAACTCTTATTGAATTTTCCTATCAGTGAAAATGGTGAATAGGCACACAAATAATCTCCCTGTGCCACATAGTATTTATCGTGAGATAGATGTACCGAAGGCGTAATGGTTGTTTTCAGTGCTACATGAATCTTAACCAGTCTGAGGTTGTTGCCATGGGGCTAATCCGGGCGGGAAATGAGTAATTTTGCAAAGCCATTTGTGTTGTAAAAAATAGTCCTGACATCAGTTGGGAGCTGTTGTTTTGGAGTATTGCCAAATTCAATGCGCGGCAAACGAGCAACAGTGCAGAAGGACGCAGAAAGCAAAACAAAGTTTTAGTACAAATTGTCAAGATTTTATAAATACATACCCGTGGGTGGTATGATGGCCGGTATGATGATGATCCGTGCTTCAACTGATACGGCTGTGTTCTCTCTTCCATTAGCCGAAAGATATGTGGCGTTACAGGTAAAGTTTCCTGTTTCATATATCTTAATATGTCGAATGATATCAGTGGTCCCGTCATCATTCTGCGTTACTTCAGGAATAGATGGGAAATGTTTTCTATCATGATACCAAATGAGTTCGGTATCTTCAACAGGATAAACGTTTGGGAGTGTGCAGTTAAGGGTGAAGGATTGGTTGGCATGAATGCTGCAGGATGAAGACTCGTCAGCTCCGGTGCAAGAAGGGATCACCGGGAGCGTATCAGGGCGAAGACCTTAATTTAAAAATGATAATGATAATGATAGTATTATTAGTGATACAGATACAGTGGGCCTTCCCCGATAAACATGTTCTGATGTATGCGCGCATGTAACCGGTGGACAGGGCCGGAGGACCTTCAGGCATGCGAACGTGGTCGCCTACATGTGCAAGGGCCTTGTTTTTCTTGTCGAGGTCATTTGCATAGTTCAGTGCAGTTCAGTTTTTATTTTTCATTTTCAACAGAATAGTAATCTTGATAAGAAATCAGATATACAACTCAACATTCAATAATATAATACGTTTTACATGGTTTAAAGTTGTTAAATAGAAAGTATACATAAATATCCAATATAATGAGTTTTTCATATTAAAATAAACAGATAAACCTGTGTAAATTGTTGTTGCTAGGTCAGACAAGCAGTGTAGATTGTCCGGCCTGGCGACGGCCACTGTTAACTAATTTACGCGAAAAGACACTGCAGGGGAGGCATCGCACAGTGGGCCAGGGAGGAACCAAAGTGTGCCAAAACTAATTTATCGGGATTTATTTTCTATAAATCCATAGGAAATGTTTGGATGTCCAGGGATTTCCGCTTAAATGGTATTACCAACATTTTCTCTGATATCTAAGCTTTAAGTTGATACCAGATTTGGCTGCCCGATTGTGCCCGTTATTATGTTAGAGCCGTTTTCTTTGCAACATTGCCCCGAAAAATGTGTTTATTTTGGTCCGCGGTGTCAGAACAAGTGTCACGCGCCCCCAAGCGCCGTGATTTATGACCGCGAATCCTTCATGATTCAACCGCGGACTAAAAACAAAAATATTTTTCGGGACAATGTGGCAAGGGGAATCGGCTCTAACATGACAACGGGCAAGATCGGGCAGCCAAATTTGGTATCAACTTAAAGCTTAGACATCAGATAAAATGGTAGTATCAAAATATAAGCGGAACTCTGCGGAAATCTAAACGTTTCCTCTGGATTTATAAAAAACAAGGATAATTAGTCCAGTTTTCAGTGAATTAACCTTTAATATATCATGAAGATTGTGTTTCTTTACATTTTAACCAATTCATGCAACGAAATAAACTATCAGGAATATGTGAGAGCAATTTTATATCAATAACTTAAGAACTTCATGTTAAATTGAAAGATTTATAAAACTAGACATATAATACTTGTTTAGAACAAGTATAGGTGGGCTGGTCAACAAAAATTTGACACGAAATAGAGCAAAAATAAGCGAGATACTGCTAAAAAACAATGTCATATAGATTAATGATGTGAAAGAAATTCACCTTCCTTAGGCATAACACGCAACTTAAGAAATTTCTGATATGTGCCCTTTAATCGTAATTTTCACTATGATGACGTAATCAAATGGAAAAATAGTGGAAACTTAGCTTGAAGAAAATTGTCTTAGCTACATCATATCAAAATTTGGAAGAAAATCGATCAATATTTACAGAGATACAATCAATTTCCCATAAATATGCTGACTTCATAATATGCAAATTCGTATTTTGAGTTCCAAGGCCATTATGATGATGTCACGATACACTTAATGGCCAAATGAGACATGGAATCATATCTTCGACTCATACTCTATCTAAATATGAAGAAAAAAATGATGGTCACAGTTCATTCCAAAGAGCTATAATGGATTTTGTATAGGCATGTTTTTGCCCATATATGCTATGTATTAAAAGAGCTCGCGCGCACGGACATTTTTCTTGAATTGACGCTCATCTTGTTATTAGTGGTCATAAAGAGATAAACATGGTATCAAATTCCTTGAAAAAATATGAAAAATATCATGAAAGAAAAAAAATGGCGATTCTATGTTTTTTAATGGTGTTACGCGTGAAAACGCGCGCGCATGCGCGTGTGCGCGATTTTTTATAAAATGCTTAAAATGACCTAAAACTTATGGAAAAAAATTTGAGATGATTTTGAGCATTTTAAAATTTTGCGCGCGCACTGACGCGCGGACGTACGCGAATGCGCGCGTTTTTTTACCCGAAATTGACCGGACAGATATTGACCTTGATCATGATAAATATGAATGAGAAATGGTTTTTGGTTATAAAGATATGATCAAGAGTTTATTTTCAGAAAATTTCACAAAATGGCGCCTAGATGAAGTCATCAGTCAAGGTCATGGTTGAAAAAATGTCTGTGTTTTGTTCTAATGCCTATACATATAAGTGCCAAATTTCAAGGTATTTGATTAAGCCATTTTCAAATTATCTTGCACACAAAAAAGTGGGTCGAAATAAGAAAAATAAACTAGATTTGTAATACTTGTTTGGAACAAGTATAGGTGGGCTGATCCAACAAAAAATTGAGACAAAATAAAGGGTACATTTGAGATAGCTTTTTGTCTCAGCTACAACATACTCGAAGTTCAGCGTAAATAAAGCTAAAACGACGTAGATATTGCTCGCAAAAGACGGGAATGTAGAATCGAGTTTTGAGAAAAAATCATGTCCCATACAGAATACACGCAAAATGTGAAAAATTTACATGCCTCCTTTAATCGCAAAAATACGCCATGATGCCTTTGTCAAAATGAAGAATAATAGTAATTACATTTGTAAGGAATTGTCTCAGCTAGAACATTTCAAAATTTGGAAGAAAATCAATCACTATTTACAGAGATACAATCAATTTTCCATAAATATGCTGACGTCATAACATGCAAATTGGAATTTTGAGTTCGGAGGCCATTATGATGACGTCATGAGTTAATTGAAGGTCAAATGTGACATGACACAATATCTCCGAATCATACTCTATCAAAATATGAAAAAAATTGAGGTCACCTTGCAGCCTAAAGAGCTACAATGGATTTTGTATAGGCATGTTTTTGCCCATATATGCTATGTATTACAAGAGCTCGCGCGCACGGAAATTTTTGTTAAACGGTCGATCATTCCGTTATTAATAGTCATAAAGAGACAAACATGGTATCAATTTGTTTGTAAAAATATGTGGAATATTATGAAAGAAAAAAAATGGCAATTCTATGTTGTGTAATAGTTTTACGCGCAAAAAACGCACGCGCATGCGCGTGTGCGCGATTTTTTATAAAATGCTTAGAATGGCCTAAAACGTATGCAAAATGATTTTGAGACGATTTTGAGCATTTTTAAATTTTGCGCGCGTATTGACGCGCGGACGTACGCGCACGCGCGCGTAATTTGACCTGCAATTGACCGGACGGATATTGACCTTAATCGTGATAAATATGAATGAGAAATACCTTTTGGTTATGAAGATATGATCATGTGTTGATTTTCGTAAAATTTTACAAAATGGCGCCTAGATGACGTCATCAGTAAAGGTCAATGTTAAAAACGTTATTGTGCTTTGTACATATGCCTATACATATGTGTGCCAAATTTGAAGGCATTTGATTGAGCCATTTTCAAGTAATCGTGCTTACAAAAAAGTGGTTCGAAATAAGAAAAATAAAGAATAATAAATAAATAAATAAATAAAGGCAATTCTTACGAAATTATAAGGTGGTCTGTACGATATACAGCCCACCTGATAATAAATAATAAATAATAATAATAAAGGCAATTTTAACAAAATTATAAGGTGGTCTGTATTAGATACAGCCCACCTAATAAGTCACTTTGGAACTAAAACTGTGAATATGTAGGATTTTGCTGTTTGAAGGAGTAAATTTATTCCCTAGTTGTGCTTACCCGAATTAAATATTTTACTGAGGTATTCCTCAATGTATTACAGTTCAACTGGTCAAGAAGAGAATTGAAGAAAAATAAATCACCAAAAATGAGTTTTGGCGCACTTTGGTTCCTCCCTGGCCCACTGTGCGTTGCCACGGTTACGCGGACGAGCGTTGAATCGGCTGTGCGTAAACGAAACAGTACAAATGTGTACAGATTATGCCTAATAATAATCGATGGACGTGGGGAGGAAAAGCGCCTGCACATGCAGTGTAGCAAATTCTAGCAAAAAGAAATACCATACATGGAAAGCTTAGGTTTGGGCGGACATTTTGAGATTAACATCACTGCGGGAATCGGCCGGAATCCTAATAAACATGCTACTTTTATAAAAAATTGCAATTTTTTTTTTTTTTTTTGGTGAAATTTAATGCTCATTTTTCCCAAAATGAAGCTTCCATAAATTTGGTCATTGTATTTTCTAATTGGGTTACCAATAGGCAAGAAGTGCACGCAGTATCAAGTTGATTGCTTTTCCCTTCATAAATTCTCAACACCTATTGTAAAGTTGCCACTTTTATCATTTTTGGAGCAACATATAGATTTTCCCATGTTCGCAGGGGTATATGACACTTTTAAAACTCGCTAAATATTAAAATATGGGTGGAAAAATATTCTTTAGAATGTTTTCTTCCCCAAGCGAATGAAAAAAATATAAAAATACACATTCGCCAATTTTGAATTTTGGCACACTTTGAGGCGATTCTGGCCCACTGTGCGTCGGGCATGGATCAGGAGAGTGTGTTTGCGTGCCTTGGGGATCTCTGGTAGCAGGCGTGCATGGGTTTGAATGCATGTTGTATTATATTAGGGACTTTTAGATTTCCGTGGACTGATACGTGTGACGTCCATTCAAGGCAGTGCATTAAAAGGACGTCGATCGTAGCAATCCCCATTGTCTTCGTGCGAATCTAAAAGTCCCTATTGTGTCTAGGTTACGGCCTTCTTATTATTGTATATTACATGATTGTTCATGTCTACTAGTTGGGTTTTGTTGCAGAGGGCGCTACACAATTTGTTTTTGTTGTGAGATAATGGAAAACTGAGTGTCTAATTTGAAAGAACATACACTTTGAATGACAAAATCGGTTCGGAGACGGCTGAAATATCCATAAATATAACGATTTCTAATATTTGTGTACCACCACAAATTTAAGGTAATTTGGACCAGCTCTTGAAAAACAAAAAAGGGCCTTATACGTTTATTCTAGCCAATGCCGATGTTGGCTTTTGATGGATATTTCGTGTTGGTTATAATTGGCACATCCAGCCGGCCAGTGTATTGTTATTATTAATTAATTAATTAATTAATTAAAGGTCACCGTGATTTCATAAAAGTGGAGCTGAATTAATATGAGCGTATTGGCTAAATATTTTGCAAATTTGGAGGGCAAAACTTTTTCATAGCAATTTTTGGTCCTAAAAGAGCACTAGTAATGTCATAAATAAGAAAAAGAGCAATAACCATGCACTCTGAAGGCATTTGCGGTCTGAAAGAAGAACTTAACTATCCTTTAAGGCTTTCTTGCACACCTATTATCATTGGAACATCCTTCACCATTGCAACTACTCCAATCAAATGTTATTTGTTATTTAGGGGAACCTTTAATCTACAAGCTAAGCTGTTTCAAAGGTTCCTCAAATTTTACCCTATATAACCTAACATTTTACCCTGTATAACCTAACATTTTATCCTGTATAACCTAACATTTGAAACAATCAATTTCGACGTCTTTACAAAGACTCGATTATATAATACGGTCATAGTTATTTTACAATTTGGTCATTTATGTGAATTCTGTTTTGTGAAATGTGAAACAAATAAACTTGAAACTTGAATACCAGTATCATCAAATAATAATAATGATAATAAAATGATAACAATGATAATGATAGTAATAATAATTAAAATAGTCTTTGATATTATTACTCGTATTATCACTATAATCATTATTGTTGTTATTATTATTAATATTATTGTTATTATTATTTTTTATATTAAATTTGTTTTTATCATAATTTTAGATTATTTACCCAGGGTAGCCACACCAGTGTTACTACTGCTTTTCATGCAGGTCTTGCATTAATTACAAGATAATTGCCAAGTACCATATGAATACAGCTTAGTCAAGATGAACAGATGAGGGCAAAACCCCTTCTAGGCATGTATTAAGCAAGGATCTATTTTGGAACCCCGCCAAAGAAACTCAATACATGGCAATTTCGAAGCCGAGTACAATGGGGCAAATGATTGAGGATCTCGAGGCTCTACCTGAACCTTTTTCTTTTGTGGGGTGTTAACGGAGCATTATTAAAACAAACGAACAAACCGAAAACATCAAAAACAGCAAATAAATATTAAGCAAACAAGTTGAAGGTGTCATGGTAAAGTGGTTGATTCACTTGAATGACTCTCAATCCTAAACTTGCTGGTTAGAATCCCAGGTCGACACTAAGGTATCTGTATTAATAAACATTTAATTATCTTAGCCCTGAAGTCTATGTGAACCTGACAGTTGCTTTGGATACACTAGTTGTAGGATCTACAGTAAGAACATTATTGGTGCTAGTTAGGCTTCGTGGGTAAACAGAACAATTTATGTTATTATTATTAAACAAAACTGTTCTTGTGTGGCCTTAACGTCTAGCTTTTACGTGAAAATGTGACTATTCTTTAAACAATGACATAATCAATCATTGCATATGGTCGTCAAGGAGATCAGAATTGAAACTTACTGAACACATTGAGCTTGGTGTTGATGTTTTGCACTGGAATTTGTCCTTTCCGGTCCACGACACAGCAATAGGTTCCCACATCGACGACGGTTATATTTTCCAAGATGAGCGTCGAATTGTCGTCTTGCAAACTTGCTCGATTTGCATATTCTGCTCCTAATGTTATGTTCCCCTTGGCAAGGAACAAAAGCTTCTGACGCCCAGTACCGTTGTTGTAGTACCAGTAGATATTAATTACCGTGCCTTCTCCGAAGAGACATGCTATGTTGACAGTGTCACCGGCCGTCGTGGAAAGTTCTGTAGTAGTTCCAGAGACGCTGACTGCGGCCCAGATCAGTAAGGTTATTACGACAGAGGCTGGGTTGATAAGACAAAAATAATGAACTCAACATGTAATTTTATATCGAAATAGCTAAATGAATACAATTGTTCAGTAGCGTACGCAGGTTTTTTCAAGGGGGGGTGGGGGGGGGGGGGGGGGTAAGCGGACACTTTTTTTTTGATCCCCCCAAAATCGCAACGACTCAGCCAGCCGTTGAATAAGCGGGGGGAGGGGGGAAAGAGGACACTTTTGTTTTTGTCTCGAAATTTCAAAAATTGACATTTTGCTCTGTTGGGGGTGGTAAGGTCAACTTTTTTAGGTCAGCCATTGGCATATTTTTTTATTTAAAAACAAACAAACAAACAAAACCAAAGAGGGGGGTTCTCCAAAATACACACATACAAAATACCAAAGGGGGGTTTCAACCCCCAGCCCCCCCCCCCCCCCCCCCCCCTTGCGTACGCGTCTGCAATTGCTATACCCTGCTGGGACACAGCGTGCGATGAGTAAAATGTAAGGGTGAAGATGTCGGTCGGTGAAATGGTTCGCGAGAGCGATTATTATATTATTGTCCTCTCTCTTTCTTTCTTTTGCTCTCACTTTTATTCTCCCCCAATTTGTCTAACTCTCTCTTCTTTCTGCATACTTCACATCCACCACAAATGTATAACAGTAACTAAAATATCAGTCTAGGTTTTTATAGCGCTTCATATATCGACGGTGTCTCTAAGGGTTTTACAAATGTATTATTTCCCTGTAGGCGGTTTCAGGCTTCGGTGCTCCCAAGGAGTTTAGTAACTCCTTGGTGCTCCACACAGCGTTAATAGGGACGTTTAGGTTTGCAAGACGAGAACGTGGACTGCAACATGTGACATCCTTAGGCACTACAAGTGCCTTAAAAGAACGTCACACGTGACTGCCGGTGCCTTAAAAGGGCGTCACACGTCCACGCAAATCTAAAAGTCCATATTAAGGACTTTTAGATTGAGTGGACGAGAACATGCGTGTCCATGACAAGCCGTTTTAACATTTATTCCCGATTCTTGATATCTAGAATTACCATTGCTTTACAACAGAAAATCATTTCTTGATTTCAAGAATTACCATTACTTTACAACAGAAAATCATTTCTTGATTTCAAGAATTACCACTGCTTTACAACGGAAAATAATTTCTTGATATAAAAAAATAGGAATGAATGTTAAAACGGCTTGCCATGGACACGCATGATCAGTGGACGTTCACGCCATTCTCGTCCACTCAATCTAAAAGTCCCTAATAACGTTGTATGGAGCACTCAAGCCAGTCGCTATTTCATAGACGCCCGCAATGCTAAGCAAAGTGTAATACCCTTGGCATCCTATACCTTGTACTAATTAACACCTGGAGTTAATGTCCTGCCAAAGGATGTTAGTACCGGGATGGGATTCAAACCCTCGATCCTTAGATTAAAGCTAATACAAAGTTTTGGTAATATTTCAACAGGATTGGATTATGAAATTTTAAATTTGCAGAACCATTGTGAAATCTAGTGTTGGAATAAACAACTTTCACTAAAATGCTAATGATTTTGAGAAATTTAAATTTCAAATAGTGCCCACGGCCATACAACGGTAAATGCGACCATGACAAATCTAGGAATATGCAGTGCTGTTATATAATTTCCAAACGGGAATAAAAAATCGGTCGATTTTAATCAAGAAACATATAGTTTTGAAGCTAAAGTAATATCAATTTTGAGAGGGAGCTATACAACATAAACAGTTTAATATTCATAACTTAATCACTTAAGACTCGATTTTAGCCGTGACAACGGTCATTGAATGTTGCAGGATCGCATAAGTTTTGTTCATTTGAACCAAATTCATGACCCCATAGCAAAACGTTGTACTACCTTTGAGGACCACGTACTGTACCACAACACCTCCACATAAATGTATGCATCATCATCAACAAAGGTGATAACAAAACAGTTAGCATCACATGATTGAACGCCTCTTCAATGTCAATTCCTAATGATCGAAAATTCACCCCGGAATATAAACTATTCATAATTCTATTTCTTCCACATGAGCGGTTTAACTACCCATAATATTTTTGATGAAATACAAGTAAACAAAGTTATCATTTAATTGGTAGGGTATATATGCATAACGATGTACGTTATGTGAACATTGGACCTACTTCGAATGAGTCATTGTTTGAGGGCATGGCTTTATACTAACCTTTAGCGATAGGTCTCACGTTCTCAACAAACAACATATTTATGCAGGTATATTAATAGCCAACTTATTCATATTGTGCAAGAAAAGTTTTGTCAATATTCTCTTCCGAAAAAAAAACGATTACAAGGCCACTGAGAAACCTCCGAAAGGGAAATGCTATTTTCTTTGTGGAAATAGCTGCATAGGTTAATGTTTCCACCAGGAACTGAACCCGATTTTTTTGTAGGTATTACGTCATCAGCCACTAGACCACAAAGACGGTTTAATAGATATTCGGCTAAACCAGAAATAGTAAAAGACAGCCTCTCCAAACCCTCAACAAGAAAATTAGTTAGGAAGAACAATTAATTTAATAGCTACTCAAAATTATATCCCAAACCCACTTGATTTTTAACATTAGGTCCATTCATCATTATGTACATACATTTATGTATGTGTACATATTGCGTCTCAATACTTCGAAAATCAACGGAGTTGAAAATAAATATATAACGTCTGAGACCTCGAATTTTCGTCCAAACCTGGGAATTACTGATGACCGAATGAAGCCCTTTGGGTGAAAAGTCGCAGCTTCAGACGTTTCACAGAATTATTCAATTAATTTTCCACTCTTTATAAATGTATGTATATATATATATATATATATATATATAGAACAAATAATTTAATTTTGATAATCCTCCTTAACAGCAATATACAAATAATAATGAAACCTATTGATATACAAACAAATCATTGATAGTTCTCTGTTAGTCCTCTTTCTTTTTATCTCATACCATCACAAGTTACATTTTCTTAAAAAGCAATACAAATTCCATAATCTAAACAAATAATTTCCATGCACTATACCTAACCCTAATTTTACCCGGGTCTGTGGGCCAGGCGCGTACGCCCACTGAACAAAATATCGGTCGGCAAAATTTGCCAATTTCCGGGACCAAAAAAAAATATGTGCCTCTTTTTCCTCTTCTTGGTAAATCCTTCTACTATTTTGGAGATTCCTGGATCGAGTAAGACATGAGGCCCGTTCACACATAACAATTAGTGCGAATTTGATCGCGATGCAAAAATTGTTTCTTTTTAGGGGGCGTCCATTCACACAAAGGGAGAATTCTCGCTCGGCGAGAGAATCCCGACGCAAGACATACTGCGAATAGGATCGCGATGCGAATCGCAAAGGTTAGTGAAATGATTATGTTCACACACGCAAAAAACCCTAATTTTGGATCGTGATGGAGAAATCGATTTTAAATCTCACTTTTTTATGTCGGTGTGAACTATCGTCTAACAGTGCATGTATTCTATTACGCACTTCGAGTCACAAGAGTTTGTGCATGTAAACTAATTCAGTACTTAGCCTGTTTCAAAGTCCTGGGCCCCGTCTTACAAAGAGTTACGATCGATCCAAATTAATCGTAAGTCCTCCAATCAATCGCAAGTTTACAGTCTCCTATCTCTTATGTACATAGTTACGATTGATATCAATCGCAAATAAGCTACGATTGATATCAACTCTTTGTAAGACGGGGCCCTGGATTGTATAAATCAACCCGATGGTTGGCCCGTAGGCCTACGTAAAGTTACTGAACAACAGCCCCCTTTCCGAGTGCTTTCTTCTTACCTTGAATATGTGCCATGGCCTTTTGTTCCTTCTTCTGCAGTCTCAATAAATCATGGACGCTAGCACAGTAGTTGATTCAAAGATCAATTTCACGTGAATATGTACCGTTCTATTAGTTTGTCGATTGTTCAATAGACACAGTTGATCGCGTGAGTTATGTATACAATACCCTTTAGATATTTGCAGGGCAAATAATAATTCCCTGTATTACTCTATTTAAAGTCCAGGGCATCGCAAAACTTCAATTAAGAATCGTGTTAACTTTTATATGTACAAGCGATTCAACGAGTTGTTGGAGAACTTGTACCTTTGACGGTTTCACTAAACAATGCCAGTGTTGTTATTTTTGAGAGATTAATAGCCAATGTACTCTTGCGAAAGAGCCTATCATTGCACTGGCAAAGCCGAATGGATCTAACATGTAGAGACATGAAGGTGATCCCGCTATTGTCACTGTGGACGATCAGGTACACGCGATTATAGCAGTTTCCTTTCATTAATTTTAGCTGTCAGTTGGTCTCCTTATACGGAACATTCACATAATAGCTCGCTTCACAACACATAGGCCTATATATAGAAATGAATCATGATGTTATTTCCCTATGCCAATTCATAGTACTACCACCATCTTCATATTTAGTTTGTTTTATATGGTAATCTAGACTTTGACACCGTTACGCAAACAGTGACATAATGAGTAAGATGTTGAGGGATCTGACCCAGTATGCATTCTTAATCATCAAGAACAACACAATGAAAAAACTCGGGAACGCTTCTCCCAGTGGTTGTATTACAACATAATGGCGCAACTTCAATTTTCTGCACCTCGGGGAAAACCCAACAGCATAGACTCCTGTGTCCATGGTTACAACATAACACAAACATATGACACAGGTAAGAGAAATATATTTTCATTCATTACATTCTAATGGGATCGTAAATCATGACAAACTTGTATTTAATACTTATGGACACAATATAACACGAAATTAGTCACCTCACTCTGTTCATAAGCGGAACGAACTGTTTATCTACTTATTGTACAATAACAAAAGATTTACATGTACAACTGTGATCATGCTTTATCATGAGAATATCTCTCGGATGAATATGTTTTCTTTCTATCTCCCTGTCTCTCATTCTCTCTCTCTCTCTCTCTCTCTCTCTCTCTATCTTTCTCTCCGTCTCTCTCTCTCTCTCTCTTCCTTTCTCTTTCTCTCTCTTTCTCTCTCTTTCTTTGTCATTCTCTCTCGCTCTCTCTCTCTCTCGTTCTTTAGTCCCCTATATCTTCTCTTTTCTCTCTGTACATGCTCTCACTTCCATCCTGTTATGGAATGTGGTTCGGTGACAAAAGCGTATTTTTTATAGGAATTTACTTCCAAACTGAATACATGTATTACTTACGCAATATTTACAATACATTAGGGACTTTTAGATTATGCACGACGAGATGTGACGTCACTGCCAGTGCCCTTAAAAGGACGTCACATTGCCTCAAAAGGGCAGGCCACGTTCTCGTCGTGCAGAATCTAAAAGTCCCTATTATGGATTTATCACAACTTGGTTTGAACTCATATTTACGAAACGTTCCCGATCGATATTAAGAACTATGCTAAATCTGAAGTCTAGGTATTCCCGGAGTAAAAAAAATCATACTAGTTGATGCAATCAAATCTAGGTATGAAATGGGGTCCGAAATCGCAAAGATCCAGATCTATGGCTGGGTAGCGAAACATTTGTTTCAATTGTGATTGTGGGGGATTTCGACCCTTCGACTTGGGAATGTAAACAGTTCAGCAGGAATAATCTGTTGTACTTTGCAATGTACACACATTTTGTCACGATAGGTTTATTCTAACTCATATTTGGTCAGGCCTTCTCACATTAACAGTTCATGAATTAGTATACATAAATACACATCAGTGAGGGCATTAGTAAGAATTACACACGTGGTACCTTTGAAACAGTCTATCGCCTTGGGCGTGTTAGACTGTTCCAGATGTACCTCGTGTGGGTAATTTTACTAATGCCCGGACAAAATGATGTGTATTGTTTGTTTTATAATATTATGTTTTATTCGTTTAATAAAATGATTTTTATTACATGATTTTAATAATGAACGGTCATTATCCGAATTACGCGTTAGGCAAATAATACCTGGTCACGTGTACGCTTTCAACCAATCATTTGATTAGGATCCACGTCATCATCAAATATGGCACACTGTGTGTAACCAAATTGAAACGCATTCCATGTTACATGTAGATATAATATGACAACAGATTAGTCATGCTAAACGTTTATTCTCCCAAATCGAAATCCCCCATAATCACAATTGCAGGAGAATTCGAACTGTCGTAGTCGAGTGGTTTAAGCACTTTAAATTAAATTCAAGGGTCGTGGTTTGATCCCCGACACGGCACTAATGGTAAGCCATTAATCTACATTTACCAGCCAAGAGAGAAATGGGGACCAAGTAGGATGACAAAAGCATTTGTATTAGTAATTACCTATGCCCTCAAGGGGACCATATGGTAAGTATACACTCCAGTGAGTGGAGATGATGCACTTTGTGTGTTAATAAATCCGATGACGGGGATAATAATATCTGTAAAGGGCTTAGAGACGGTATTCCGTATGAAGCGCTATATAAATCCAGATTATTATTATTTATATCAAGTACAGGCCTTCATTTTCACAATTTTTGTATCTAAGTGATGTTAAAGCAGTGCATCGACTGCAAAGGTGGTTGTCTTAGATTTGTTTTAAAGACATTCTCCAAGAAAGCATTCCAATTCTGCAATCTTTTAGTCTATTTCAATGTCTCAATGCTCATTCGTCCTTAAGCTTCCAAAAACAGAAATAGTACAAGGTTTTTTTTTAACATAATACATGTAGCTGAATTGAAGCTAAACGTTTATCTGCATTTTATTTAATTCTTAATCGCCGTTGTCTGGGGATTCAAAGTCTGCATCGTCTCCACAAGAATCGGATCATTCTTCTCCTCTAAACGTCAAGTGCTTTCGGAGTAAAAGTTCGAGTTATGACGATAATGGTAGAATTCACCTAAATGAACTTCATAAGCTTCCGGCTGTATCACATATGCTTTTCCTCATGCCTAGGCAGATATGTAAGGATTCCAAGATAGGAAAAGAGAAAAAAATCTCAGATGAAACCGTCACCGATAATGTGCAACTGCAGCATTTTTCCCAATTAATGAGTCTGGGTATTCAAATTTACTCAAAATGAAAACGTAAAAAGAAATTATAAAAGAAGACTGTTGAAAAAACGTTACTTTGGTGGGCATAAAATTGTCGAAATCCTAGAATTTGTCTTGATCGACTACCTTAAATTTACCTTGAGTTTAATATTCAACAGTGCGTCTCCAGAAGAAGTCAACCAGAAAACTAATGAATATTACGAACAATGAGATGTATAAATATGATTGAAGCAATGTTGCTCAGTGGCACATATATGGACTAATGCATTTGAAAAAGTAATTTCCACTTTATGAAAATCAATAAATTATCGGTATATAACTTATAGTTCTCTGATATGAAACATGACTTCTTGCTATTATTGGTTTTTCAATATCAACACTTTATTCAATACATTTTCGTTAAGTACGAAAATTATTATTTTGAGTAACAAAAATAATCGTTTAATTGAATTTGTCCTAATGTCATGATTTGCATTTTCTAGTTGTTAGGCAGTTCGATTTTCTTAAGCCAGAAATGTCTTTTTTCTCTGCAGTGTTTTGAATAAACGTATGTGCCATAAATGTCTTGCTCGTCTTTGGAAGTTCGTAGGAACAGTTTGAGGTATAGACAAAAAAATAGGTACCAAGAACGTTTTTTCAACTTTTGGGGCTATTATTTTTCTTAAGCCCTTAAATTGTCTCACCATTTCCATCTTTGGAGCCGTTTTCTGCTGATGTCCTAAGTAGTTCTGAATCTCCTGTTGATGTTACTTAAAATATATTGGATGAAAACAAGAGCAATTCTGAGCATATTAGATAATTAGAATATCTTATCTTATTATATGTATGACAGAATAATCATCTAGTTCCTTTGATTTAAAACCTTCATTTGATGCTTTCTCTCATTAGTAGTGTATACTGCAAATACAAGAAAAAGATGACAATTTATAATTTTATGATGCTTATGGGTAATGCAACAAGAGCGATCAGGTCATATGACTGAGGACCGAACATGATCTAATGGGTTTTAGTCTTTTGTTTTACCGAAAAAGCAATTAAATAAGATGTTGTTGCTAAGACTGTACTTATAACTACCGAATGTAAATATAACTATATATATATATATATATATATATACATATATAACACCCTAGACGACGATCTGATTTTACCATAATGTCATAACGGTGGATATTATAAACAAAATTATACGCCATTCATGTACGATGCATAGGCAATTTATGTGAGTTCAATTTCAAACAATATCCTTGACCTAACCATAACCTTTGACCTAACCATAACCCTAAACATCAGAACACCATCCGTCTGAAAAACCATTGACAGCCAAGTCCAAACTCCCTTTCTGAAGAAATAAATTCCGGGAAAAAAACTCTATGTAGAGTAATATATTACACATACCTGACTTGAGTTGGGTCCTTTTCTTGTTATCTTTTCTAGAGGAGCGTTGACCTTGAACACAAATGTAAACCTTAGCAATAATGTTCATTTGGGTATTTCATCTACAAAATCAGGTTAGTTTTTTTGATTAAAAACGTAAAGAATTACACATGTAGGCACACCTTTTGTCTAATTCCACAAATAGTTTTTTGCCGTCTCTATTTTCCAAAATAGCAGACGGAAAATATCATAGAATATTTTGTTTAAGTAATGTAAACATTTACCCAATGAACATTCGTTCAGATATAAAGGGGTAAACCGCCGCAGGAAATGGGGAAAACCTCTGTGTCTTCTTTTTTAATGTAAATAAATGGCAACTGCGCATAACATATGTCTGAACGAGGCCAACGTGTAAGAAACTTGGACACGTATATCTTTTTGGTTAAATTCATCATAATTAAGTGTAAAATTTACCCGATATCGGGTTAGAATTTATCGACGAAAAGCATGTTACCATTTGACTCAACTACATTAATTTCAAATTTCAATACTTCGGCCTTCTTATATATTTTCTAAATTTATGATTATGTTTTAGAGTAGAAAATTATGTTCGTCGTATTTTGAATAAAAAGTTACCTCTTGTTTTCGAACGATAGATGTACCAGATAATCACCAGAGAGATGCCTACAAAGAGCACAATGCTCATTGTTAACCAGGTGATTTGAGAACTTGTCAAATTCTTTACCGGTATGTTTGGTTCATCTAAGAAAGGACAAATTAAATTAAAACTAATATCTAATTATATAAGGAGGACTTTATTAATTAGAATAATCTTAGGTCGTGTTATCTTCGTAGGAGTCTGTTCAACATCTGCATGTGGTAATAATAATGATAATTATAGCGATATTAATAATATATCTAATAATAACAATAATTATAACAATGGTAATAATAATAATAATAATACTGATAATATTAATAGAGGGGTGTAAGCTACCAAAGTGTTGGTTATCAATTCTCAAAATTGTATAAATACATACATGCAGGTGGTATGATTCATGCTTCAACTTATACGACTGTGTTTTCTCTTCCATTAGCCGTAAGATATGTGGCGTTACAGGTAAAGTTTCCTGCTTCATGCACTTGAATCCGTCGACTGATATCAGTGGTCCCGTCATCGTTCCGCATAACATCATGAGTAGTAGAGACACGTTTTCCATCCTGATACCAAATGAGTTTGATATCTTTAACAGGATAAACGTTGGGGAGTGTGCAGGTAAGGGTGAAGGATTGGTTGGCATGAATGCTGCAGGATGAAGACTCGTCAACCCCGGTGCAAGGTTTGATTACTGGAAGCGTATGAGGGCGAAGACCTTAATTAAAATATGATAATGATAGTAACAGAATTATCAGTGATACAAGTAGTATCAATAATAAATAATGATGATAAAAAATATTATAACAATAATGCTAAAAATAACAATAACAACAACAGAACCCATGATCATGATAATACCACTAATAATTATAGAACCATAGTAATAATGATAATAATACCCGTTATCAGATATCATTAGTAATAATTATTATAACATCAAATGAACAAAAAGAAATCATCAACCACAACAGAAAATAAACATTAGGTAAACGAGTTGGAGGTGTCGTGGTAACGTTGTTCATTCACTTGAATGACTCTCAATCCAAAGCTTGCCGGTTCGAATCCCAAGCCGACACTAAGGCCTGTATGTGGGTGACTCATTAATCAAGATCTACCACTCTCAGCACAGATGTCACGGAAATCTGGTAATTAATTGGGATATGATCATTGTAGGGCCTTTGGCAAGAACAGCTATTGTGCTAATGAGGCTCCATGGGTAAACAAAATTATTGATATTATTGTTATTAAACAAAACTGTACTGTTACCTTAACGTCTAGGTTTTACGTTAAAGTTTGACTGTTCTTTAAACAAATGAATAATCAATACTTTTACAGGGCCGTCATGGGGATCAGAAAAGAAACTTACTGAAGACATTGAGCTTGGTGTTGATATTGGGCACTGGCGTCTGCCCTTGCCGGTTCACGTCACAGCGATAGGTCCCCTCATCAGCCACGGATATGTCTTTCAGGATGAGAGTCGAATTGTCGTTTTGCAAGCGTGCTCGATTTGCATATTCCGATTCTCTAGTTAAGTCCCCTTTGGCAAGAAACAAAATCTTCTGAGGCCCAGTGCCATCGATGTAGTACCAGAAGATGTTACGTAACGTCCCTTCTCCGAAGAGACATGGTATGTTGATAGTGTCACCGGTTGTCTCGGAAAGTTCTGGAGTTGTTCCGGAGACTCTGACTGCGGCCCATGTCAGTAAGGTTATAACGACGATAGCTGAGTTGATAAGACAGAAAGAATGAACTAAGCCGTATCCGGACACCTACCCCCTGTACATCCGACCCCCGGATAACCACCCCCAGTCAACTTCCCCCTAGGACAACTACCCCCTAGGGCAACCACCCTCTAGGACGACTACCCAGCAGGACAACTACCCCTGAACAACTACCCTCGGACAATAACCTCCTACGACAACTTCCCCATAGGAAAAATACCCCGGACAACTATCCCAGACAACTACCCCTGGCACAACTACCCCTAGGACAACTACCCCCAGACAACTACCCCCTAGGATAGTTTTCAGGGGGTATTTGTCCTATAGGATGGTTGTCGTAGGGGGTAGCTGTCAGGGGTAGTTGTCTGGGGGCAGTTATCCGGGGTGTGGCTATCAGGGGGTGGTTGTCCTAGGGGATAGTTGTCCGGGGGTAGCTGTCTGGGGGTAGTTGTCCTACGGGGTAGTTGACTGGGATGGTTATCCGGGGGTAGATGTTGAGGGAGTAGGTGTCCTAGAACCGAACTAAGCATTAATTTTAAGATCGATATAACTGTACAGACACGATTACCCTGCTGGGACAAAGCGTGCGATAAGTGGAATGTGAGGGTGCGGCTGTCGGTCAGTGAAAAGATTCGTGAGAGCGTTTATTTTGTTGTTGTCCTCTATCTTTTTCTTTTTTTTGCTCTCACTCCCCCCCCCCCCCTCACATATTTGCGCCTATTTCACACCTACTACATATGCATAATGATAATAATATTAATAATGATAATAGTAATAATATTATAGGTTTTTTATAACGCTTCATATATGCCGACGGTGCCTCTTAGCATTTTACATATATTTTATTTCCCTGTCATCGGTTTCTGACTTACCAACAAAATAGCATTCTGCACTCCCTAGGGAGCCCTCCAGCCAGTCACCATTTTTTAGACGCCCACAATGCTAAGCAAACTAAAATTACTTTCGCATCCTACCAGGTATCCATTTGGTAAAAAGAGGCAAATCTGGATTTAATGTCCTGCCAAAGAACATTACTGCCAGGCTGTGTTTCAAACCGTCATTCCTTAGATTGAGGGTCAATTGACTGAACCACCGTACCACAACACCTCCACACAAATGTATGCATCATTCACAAAGGTGATAACAAAACGGTTTTACGCCATATGATTGAGCGCCTTTCCCCGTCGATTCCTGACGATGGGAATTTCATCCTGGAATATAAAGTATGGTTCTAGGACACCTACCCACTGGACATCCACCCTACGGATAACCACCCCTAGTCAACTACCCCTAGGATAACTACCCCCTAGGGCAACCACCCTCTAGGACGACTACTCCCGGGAGAACTACCCTCCCCCTGGACAACTGTTCCCTGAAAAGCATGGCTCTTTAAATGCCTTTATTTTCTAAATATGACAAGTAACAGCTTAAAAATGTGGCCCGATTTTATGCCACATCTTTGTGTAGTCCCATATCCATTTTCAGTGTACAGTGTCTGTTGATTTACTAGGACAGGTCCAAATTTCTTATCAGTTTGACGACGCAAGAACCTTGCATGCAGTGCACACGTATATGCTACATGATTAAACTAGCAACCTTTCTTAGTGTTTTATTTTTCTTACCTTGAAAATCGGCCATGCGCCATATGTGAACAACACCTGAGAGATATGTGCGTGGCAAAGAAAAGCTCAATAGATTATTCCCTTATTACTCTCTTAAAGATTAATTTAGAACTTACCTCAAAACGAAAGGGCTTGAAAATGTCTTTTAGTTGGAAAATACAACCATTGTCGAATTCACTTAAGGGAATGCAACCATTTTAGTAAATAGTCTGATTTCAAGACCCTTGTACCGAATGGTCATACGTTTTGTGCTGTGCAAAGATTCAATCAGTTTAATTTTGGCCATTACAAGAAGTGGGTTATTGATGTAGACAATTGCTTATGTACCCTTTACATCTCATGTTATGTACGTTATTACCAAAGAAAAAAAAGTCAAACATTTACTCAATAGTGAATACTAGGACACTGCCAACGTTTACATTTGACAGATAGGACGTGCGTGATATATTCATTATTCAAGCAAAGTTCCACAGAATTTGATATTGTCTACAAATGGGACATATTACCTTTAAACTCCAAGGTATCTTTTCACAAACCGTCTTAAGTACAAGTTTGCCACCTTTCCTTTATTGAATAGCGTGTCAACTTTATAAACGCGCGTTTCAGCGGATTGTTGGCCAATTTGTTCATATGATGGTTTGGCAAAACGATGCCCTAGGTTATCATTTTGCGGGAAATAAAGAGTCGATAGCCTATTGCAAAACAGTCTCTTTCAAGACCACAGGGAAACCCCGAGTGGATTTAACAGGTAGAGACACGAATGTGTTTCCACTTTTGTCCTTGTGGTGTTCAGGTTCATGCAGATACAGACATAACGATCGTGACCTAGTTTTACACTGCTTACACGGGAATTCACATGACCTCTGTACACAATACTTATTTTATGATGTCATGTTCACTATGCTAATCCCTGCTGTCTACCCTCATTCACAATAATTATTCTGCTATGGTGATTATTTTGTTAGACTTTGACATTTTTTGTGTACAGTATCACGCAAGCTCAATGTGCAAGAGTTTGAGGGAACAAAACAACTATGCATTACATGAAGTACCAGAAATACATTTAAACAACCTGTACATGAACTTTTAATAACAACAGGGAGAGGCTTTTAACCCGATGTTAGGCGCCAACATAATTTACTGAACAATACGTGTTATTATGGGCCCCTATCCGAGCGATTCATTCTGCTTACCTTGTAAATCTGACATGGCCTTTTTGTTCTTTCTTCGGTGGTGACAATAAATCATGGACCCTCAGAGTGGTGTGTGCAAATACAAATCTCAAGTTATTATCAAAGCAGGTACGCAGCATGAACATGAACAATACACCCTTTACAAGGCATGATTCATATTCATGTTATGTCTGCTTCCTCAAATCTATGCCTCAAATGCTTCCATTAAATCAAAGTTAATATCAGAGTTGATTTCCCCTTTAACGGATTTCTATATTCAAATGCAATTGGTGTACAATTCAATAATTGTCGTTGGTTAATATTGATCAGCAATTATTTCTGTTCGTATAAACATGTATTAAAAAAGGGAATTTGTACGTATGCTTTAAAAAGTAACCAGGCAATGTGACGTATGGCACCCCCTTGGGAAAACCCACCTGTATAGACTCCCGAGTCCATTGTCACAACATACCACAGACATGACGGAGATGGTGCATTGAAGAAGAAGAAGAATAGATTTCCATCGATCATATTTGTATGGGATCACAAATCGAGACCCCTTTGTATTCACAATGCCCTTATTGAGAAAAGAATATCCAACAAGAATTGAGTCCCCTAACACTGTTCGTAAATGTAACAAACTCTTCATTGACTAATTGTACAATAACATAAAATATACAGTTGAAAGCTGAACTATTCATACCCTAACCAAGTTTTGTAATTTGAAAAATTGATTTGCCCCTGATTTTTATTTTATTTATGACGTGACATATTTTAGTATTCAAGCAGTCCACCTTTCATTCTTCAGCTAAAAAAAAAAAAAAAAAAAAAAAAAAAAAAAAAAAAAAAAATTAATTACAAGGGTATTAAAGATAAACTCCAGTACTGGTTAAAAAAAAAAAAAAAAAAATTCTCACAGAATCAAACGAAACTTACACTGAATGTTCAAGATTACAAATAAATGACACGTGCCAAACAATTTTGGAAGAAAATGTATACTGGCTGAGTAATGAGCATAGGAAGACAAGGAAATCAAGGTAGTACTAGCCCCGACACCATGTGTGTTGTCCCACATATAGCTTTCTATGTGAGTGCTTGTTACTTTACCAAGACTCGGTCAAATTTATTATGATTTTGATGAATCCAGAACCTTGCAGTGCACACCAATACTTACATGCTACATGATCAACTGTTTCTGATCCTTCCCACACCTTTTCTTTCACAATGCAATCGCATTACCAGTACTAAAGTTTATCTTTAATAATATAGTTCTTAACTGTATATCTATTATAATGCTTTATTATGAACATGTGTCTCGGATTTCTATCTCTCCCCTTCCCACCCCCCCCCCCGTTCTCTCTCTCTCTCTCTCTCTCAATCCCCCTCTCCCGTTCTCTCTCTCTCTCTCCCTCTATCTCTTGCCTCTCCCTCTATATCTTCCCCCTCTCTCTCTGTCTCTTTCAACTTCTTTCAATTTCTCTCTTTCTCTGTCTCTCCCCCTCTCCTTCACTCTCTCTTCGTGTCTCTCTTTTGTCTCTCCCTCCCCTTTTCCTTATTTCTGTCTCTCTGTCTCTCTCTCTCTATCTCTTTCTTAATTCTCTTCAGTACTCTCTATATGTTCTGTTCACCCTTCACCTTCTCTCACTTCCATCCTGTAATATAATGTAGTCCAATGACAAAAATATATTTTTATGAGAAAAGAATTTACTGCCCAACTGAATACATGTATGCGTAAATTATATTTACATTAATTCATTACGAAATTGTCACACGTTGGTTAGAACTCGTATTTACGAAATATTCTCGAGCAATATTACAATGCTTGGCTAAATCTGAAGTCTAGGTTTTCCGGAAGCAAAACATGGTTGATGCAATCAAATCTAACTACAACTAAGGAACAAAATTCAGTTTAAGTGTCTAATTAATTTTACTACAACATATCTCTCACTTCCATCCTGTAATATAATGTAGTTCAATGACAAAAATTTATTTTTATGAGAAAAGAATTTACTGCCCAACTGAATACATGTATGCGTAAATAATATTTACATCAATTCATTACGAAATTGTCACACGGTGGTTAGAACTCGCAATTGCGAAATGTTTCCGAGTAATATAACAAAGTTGGCTATATCTGACGTCTACGTTTTCCCGGAAGCAACACAAAATATACCATGGTTGATGCATCAAATCTACCTTCAACTAAGGAACGAAATTCATGTTAGTGTCTAACTAACTTTACTGCAAAGATATAGGCCTATTTGGAAACAGTATAAAAACGCAAATTTGTGTCATAAATTGCAAAATTCCTTGATGGCTGGGTAACAGAACATACAGCGCGAATATATAAATGTACACTTTTTTGCAATTATGATTGTAGGGGAATTCGACTCTATGGGATTTCGATTTTCGAATATAAACGTGCAGCATGAATAATCTGTTGTACTTTCAGATTTACACAGATTTGGTTAGATAATGTTATCAAAAATCCTATTTAATCAGGCCTTCTCACATCTACAGGTTTGAGGATCAAATGAAATTGTAATGTTAATGTGTTATTATCATATCTAGCACACTGAATAATGCCTTTTCATGTTATACCAAGTACAGGCCATCATTGCCAAAAAAAATATCTAGGTGATGTAAAAGCAGTGCATAGACTGCGAAGATTATTGTCCTTGGTTTTCAAAAATAAAACTCTATAGGAGAATGCATTCTCATTCCGCATTTTGCACTCTCCAATGTTTTAGTCTTGTTCAATGTCTCAATGCTCATTTGTCCTACAGCTTCGAAAAGCAGAAACAGTAACAAGGGGCTTTCTAAAAATAATAACTGAATAAAAATAAACGTTTATCTGCCTTCATTCATCATTATTCGCTCTTAATCGCCGTCGTGTTGTAAATTCACAGTCTGCATCGTCTCCACAAGAATCGACTTCCTTTCCTAGACATAACATGAATGTGGAGTAAAAGTTCGGGATATGACGATGATGGCAGTATTTCACCTAAATAATGTCCATAAGCCTCAAAATGTACTTTTCTTCATGTTGAGGCAGAGATATCAGGGTTCCAACAGGTGATGTCACCTTGAGTTCAGAACTTCAGTTATCTGGAAAGAATAAGATTATATGCAATTGCAGCATTTTTCCTATAAATGAGCCTAGGTATTTAAATCTAATCATAATGCATCTGATCATTTAAATATCTTTAAGTTTTGTTGGAAAAGATTTACTTTGATTGAGCATCCTTAATGGACCTTGACTTTGGTATTCCATAGTGGTTTCCCCCAGAATGAAACTGACTATGATATGTACACATGTAAATATGAAATGACACAGTTTATGTAACACAATATCAAGGGTGTGCCTCTTTCTGTAGGAATGGCCTCATTTTCTTCATCTTCTTCATCGCCTCCTTTTCTTCTTCATCTTCTATATATTTTTGTTTGGAGGGGGCTTTCATTAAACATGCATATTGTGTGTCCCCTTTTCTTCAACATTCTGAATCCGCCCTTGGGCCCGGTTTCATTAAACGTGTTATGACAGATTTATGACAAATCTACTCATAGCCATTACATCGAGAAAGAAAATGTTGGTAGCTGATAACAATAATCACATCTTGTTCTTGTTATTGATAACAAATTGTATGACGTTTCTGAAACAGGGTTCAGGTACTACCTTAATTGTTGTTGAACGACCCATCAATGCCGGCATTCTTGAGGGCTTCCACCAGGTTCGGTGTCTGCCTCGTCCGAGGGGTCTTCTTCCTCCAAGCCTGGAGCATGGCCAGGGTTCCTGAATGATCGCCATGGTCTCTGTTGCTCTTGAGGTATTGATTGACCTTGAACTGCCTGAAGCCGAAGTTGATGCCAAGCTGCTCGATGGCATCTTCATCCTTCAGATTCTCAGCAAGCGCTGCGATCTTCTCATCCGGGACTCCAGCTGAAAGATGAAGGGAAGAATAGTTGATGACGATTGACTTTAAGTTGGACTTAGCTATGGCACGCCGTTCATGCCACTAGTTCCTCTAACCATTCCTGGCATCGTTTTTTCAGGGGACGTTTAAATCGTGGTCACAAATCTGCATAATTTACATTTCTTGATAGTTCATTTTTTCAGGGGAAAATATTAGCTAGAGATTATAAGTGAGAGACCAAAAGTGAGATCAACCAGTGGCATGGACAGCCTGCCATAGTTAAGTCCAACTTAAAGTCGATCTTAGTCTTTGTGAAACACTCTCATGGTCCATGGACCAGGTCTCTTCCCAGTAATATGAAACATACCTGTATAATGTATACAAGTATGTAAGGTCACGTCCTCAAGACCCTAAACAGAAGTCCATTTAATAAAACTTGTTATCAAGAACAAATGATACATTTCTATGGCGAATTTGCTCTTAGCTAGTCACCTGGAACAATTTGCAGTATCTTATAACAACAGCTTTTTTCAGTAGATTATAAATTGTTATTGATAACAAGTTTAATGAAACGGGACCCAGACCAACAACAGACCAAACGAAACATTGCTTTACATCGAATGGGTAAGGAATGGACGGCTTGGAGTCACTGTAGTAGTATAGTTGGATTCTTGGAATGCCTATTATTTGAATCAAAACATTCATTGATTTATTGGGGATGTTTTACAAAGACTAAGATCGACTTTAAGTTGGACTTAACTATGGCAGGTCATTCATGCCTCTAGTTGCTCTCACCAATATGATCTTTAGATAATATTTTTTCCTTCAATAATGAACTATCGAAAAAATGTAAATTTTGTAGATTTGTGACCATGATTTGTACGTCTCTTGAGAGACCGATGCCAGTAAATGGTGAAATCAGGTCTCTTAATAATGATTACTTGGATTAATCTTGTTCCTCCTTACTACAAAAACCTAAACATGTGGGAGCTGTGTTCAACCATAATACATGTCATGCTTACATTGGTCAATCTAAGTATGAAATATTAATAAATAAAGGCTTTACAAAAATTGAGGTTCTGGGAGTGGAGATTGCAGTGGAGAGGGAGTGGAGATTTAGTATTTAATCGAATGACCGGGGTAAATAATGAATTTGTATTAAAAGCGCCTGGAGACATTTGTATGAAGCAAAAGCAGAATACTATGAATATTATTATTAACAAACTAGGCAATAATTAACAGCAGCTTTCCAATATGTACTAAATTCGCTCATGATTTTATGTACCTTCATTAGGGAAGTGTTCAGTGATCAAGTTCTCGAAACCGGACTCCTCCAAAGCCTTCACCATCATGGGGATCTGTTTCGCTGCAGGAGTCTTCTCCTTCCACACGAACAGGATGGAGTTGGTACCAAAGATATTGGTGGCCCGCTCGTTTTCCTTGGAGACCTGATTCAGCTTGAACTGCCGGATGCCAAGATTTCGACCAAGCGTGGAAAGGTCGCTTTCGTCGACCAGAGCCCCTGCAAGGTTGGCCAATGTTTCATCCTCGATGCCACCTGGTGAGTAGGTTAACAAACAAGGAATAGCAACTCGTATGGCTACAGCCTACAATATCGACACTACTAGTTTTGTGGTCCTTCCAAACACTCTGAACATGGTTCACTAGTCTGACATCCCACGTTTTCTTTTATCTTCTCATATGTATTTTTTTTTCGTTTTGTCAGTATATCGGACCTTTCATAACCCTTTTTATTTTGTACAATGTCTTGTAGGCTGACAATAAATAGCAACGCGTATTGCTACAGCCTTTGAGACCAACACTGCCATTTTTGTGGTCCTTCCAATTTCGTTTAGATAGTTCACTTTAATACTTCACTAGTCCGACGCCCCACATTTTCTTTTATCTTCTCATATGTATTTATTAGTTTTGTCAGCATATCGGACCTTTCATAAACTTTTCTGTTTTATAATATCTTGTAGGCTGCCGGTCTACGGGGATAACTCATATCTATGCAAACTCTCTCTCTATTTCTCCATCTCTCTCTCTCTCTCACTCACTCTTTGCTCATCTATTATTGTATGACTATTAAGTTGTTTGTGATGTTACTAAGTAAAAGAAACTGTTAATTAAAGAAAAGCCATGTAATATAGTCCATGGGCTGCCATATGGATTGTTTGCCATAAATACAATTTCAATTCAATCCAATTCATCTCCGTTACTAATAATTCCATCTCCTTCAGTTCTTCATTATTATATTACACATTATTTTAAATTATTTAGTCCGAAAGAATCAACTTTTCCTCCATAAACAAAGACGAATTCAATGTGAATTTGATTTATGCATTGTATCAAATTAATGACTGAACTAAATCAACCAATCAATTTGCAAGATGATAGATAACATACAACTACAATTTATTTTTACCTTGATTTTTGTCTCCTGATTCTACGTTACCCAGTTGGCCGTATTGTTTATTTGCTGTGTTAACGAATCAGAAAAATCAAATCACAAAATTAGACAAAATACAACAAACGGAGATCAGTCTGTTAATATTTCCGGCAGGTAACTAACTGTAAACCGTATTGATAAGTGGTAATTGATGATTGAATTATGAATAATTGATGATTGATTTATGAATCTATGGATTTCTATATTATCTTTCCAAGGTTACATATTCATGTTCATTCAGGTTAAATTTACATTTGATACATTCTTTTCCAATGCAATACACGACATTGTGTAGAGAAGGTATAAGAAATTCACCCGAAAGAATAGGTGTAGGTAATCTCACAAATGAGATGAATTCTTGCCCTTTGATGTACAATATTCCTTACGATAATGTACAAGAGATAAATAATGGAAGATATTCTCGAGAGCATGATGTCTATACTAAAACTCCAAAATCTAAATTAAACCCACCGACCCTTATCTCTCGACTTTTTTTCTTTCTTCATAAATCTGCCTGATTCTCTCAGACAGTAGCTATTAAAACATACACTATGAATATGACGGACAAAGAAAGATGACAAAATATACAGTTCATCAGGTAGACAAAGGAACATCCCTTCACTGCTATTATGTAAAAATGTGTAGAACAGGTGTCACATGCATATTCACCTGTTTTACTCATTTTTACATAAGAGCAGTAAAGGGATGTTCCTTTATGTACCTGAGGAACTGTATATTTTGTCCTCTTTCTTTGTCCGTTATATTCATAGTGATAAATACGCTTTTACTTGTATTAGTCCATGGGCCAGACCAGATATTGGTACCACCAGAGGTGGCAAAACCTTTGTACTTTTTTTTTGTTTGGTGGGCATATATACGTGTAAAAAGTTATGATAGCATTTCCGAATGTACAGCTTAGTCATATAATCAGCGGTTTCCATGGCAACACTAGACTAAAACCGGTATTATTCAAAGAAACAGTTAAAGTCATTTAAAAATTATAAAAACACTTTTGAATGCGTAAAAATGTACATTTTAGAATACCTCACCATAAAGGAAAGTAATGAAATGCAAATTACATTACCATTTATAACGGTTGCCATAGTAACGACCCCATAATGGCCTAAAATCAAGGATTTTGGCGTATTTTCAGTAACATATTAGACAATATGCCCTTTCAAGACAAGTTAAAGTCCCCCATCCAATTTAATGAAACAACTATATGACTAATACATCATATTAGCCAAGAATATGCTATTTAGTACCTTCCCTTGTTACCATGGCAACATGAATTAGAGTTAACAAGATGCCCTGTATGGTACTATATGCCATATTTTGGCTATATTTTGGCATTGGGGAGCTGTTGAAAGTTCATTTTGGTGTCTATACCCAGGTTTTCAGGCCCACAGAATAAAAGTTTAGAATACCTCACCATAAAGAAAAGTAATGAAATGCAAATTACATTACCATTTATAACGGTTGCTATAATAACGACCCCAGAATGGCCTAAAATCAAGGATTTTGGCATATTTTCAGTAGCATATTAGACAATATGCCCTTTCAAGACAAGTTAAAGTACCCTTTCTAATTTAATGAAACAACTTTATGACTAATACATCATATAAGCCAAGAATATGCTATTTAGTACCTTCCCATTGTTACCATGGCAACATGAATTAGAGTTAACAAGTTGCCCTGTATGGTACTATATGCCATATTTTGGCTATATTTTGGCATTGGAGAGCTGTTGAAAGTTCATTTTGGTGTCTATACCCAGGTTTTAAGGCCCACAGAATAAAAGTTTAGAATACCTCACCATGAAGAAAAGTAATGAAATGCAAATTATAATACCATTTATAACGGTTGCCATAGTAACGACCCCAGAATAGCCTAAAATGAAGGATTTTGGAGTAATTTCATTAACATATTAGACAATATTCTCATTCAAGACAAGTTAAAGTCCCCTTTCCAAATTATTGAAAAACTATATGACTAATACATCATATCAGCCAAGAATATGTTATATAGTGCATTCCCATTATTACCATGGCAACATGAGTTAGAGTTTACAAGATGCCCTGTAAGGTACTATATGCCATATTTTGGCTATATCTTGGGATTGGAGAGGTGTTGAAAGTTCATTATGGTGTCTATACCCAGGTTTTCAGGCACAGGGAATACAGCTAAAGCATTATTTTGGACATTAACATAGGACATCACTGCTATTTTTCATACATTTGCATAAAATCAGAGCAAAATGACCATACAAGTATTCTGCCACTGCATATTACGAGCTGTTTCTTAGGGTTTAGAAAAATATAACATTGTGATGACTACATTAGATGCTAGAAAACTTCATTTGATTGTATGCAATGTTGGAACCAGCACAGATTCATCACATATATGGTATCCGTAATGTTGACGTACCTTGAGCGCTGTGATTCCGTCTTCTCCGCAGTAGTAGAAACATGACAACCCCAACTACTACTGCTATCACCACGACAATCGGGACGATAATCAGCGCCAGGTTAGTCAAGAAATCTGTTAGAGTAATAGCAAAACAAAGCAAATTGGATGAGTACAATTAAATAAAATATCTAGGTTTTATTTTGTAAAAACGATGTTAAATGCCATAGCAAATGAAAAGTAGGACAGGTCATTGGTTAATGTTTGCGCAAAGCAAGCTGCTTTTGCGTAAAGTTATAGAGAATCTGCAATGTCAAGTATTTGTTCCGCGCAATTTGAGTTTGTCATGACAAATTCACATCGTTTTCCTTACATAAATTATAATATAGTTTTCCGATAACAAATCTCGGAGTAGCCACAATATACTGCTCTTAAAATGGGTCGTGCAATTTTGAGTACCCTATCATTTCCAGGTACCCATTTACTGCTGGGTCGAGAGGATTTAATGTACGCAAAACAGTTGGGTAAACATGGTCAAATGAAAGGGCTCGTTGCCTCGCTCAGGTAAACATAGAACACGTTTGTTAGGTAGAATCCTACCCGTTTTTCTGGTAAAATTTGAAAAAAACTCTACCCAAAAATATATGCATGTTTCATTTTTTAAAGGGATCCGGTAACTTTGTCTCAGATTCTGAAACACAATTCTGGATTAAGCTCATGCTGCAATGATAATTGGTCAGTCAGGAACCCCGTGACTTTTACAAGCCGATCGTTTGTCTGATTATCAAGATATTTATGATTGGAATTACAAATTTTGAAAACCGTTTGCCAAACGGTTTTCAAACACTACAGTCTACTGGGGAAAATGAGTGTGGTAAAACCGGTCACTCAACGATTTTTACTTTTTTGAGGCACTTCTTGATCATTTTGAAGCGCAATTTTCATAGGGCTTCAATATTACGCCATACCATAGACACTGATAACACGTAGAGCCGTGTAACTCAGATTTAGCATTGTTAAACGATCCCTTTAAACAAATATTCGACCAATATTTACCAGGTTTAGTTTTACCAATTTTTTAAGTGTATGGCCAAATGTATAGTTATGTTCGATTGATCATGCTCGTTTACATCGCTGCATCAAAATCCTGCTTCGCCTCCAACAACAGCAACATTGCACTACATTTTATTTTCAGAAGACAGTAGATGACCTAGTAATTGCACAAAGAGAATAATATTAATATGAACCCGTATTATATAGTCCAGGCTAGAGAGCAAGGAACCTTGTTTTTTAGACATACGGTGTTTTTGATGGGTTCTTGTCAATACTAGGGTGCTGATTCTAAATCCGGTGAGTGCCAGACGCGAATCCTTGAGAATTTCTAACAAAGTGGGAATTATTACCTAGTTTGTCTTGTAGGGAAAACGATATGGAAGACGTGGTCTCTTCCTTGCCCTCGACAGAAAGATACGATGCCTTGCATGTCCAGGTCCCAGTCTCAGACACTTCAATGTTGGTTCTCAGGTCAAAGGTTCCGTCTTCCCTGGCCTCCGTAATCGAAAGGGGGCTTCCAAGTGGACCACGCCCTTCGTGATACCACCCCAAGGAGAAATTGGTTTTCGGGTAGACGTTGGGTAATTCACAGGTGAGGTTGGTTGGTCCATGTCCAGTGAGCATACAGGTTGAACTGTTCAGTGGTCTTTGAGAACACTGTAGTATTGCTGGAGAAGTATTCGGGGCTAAGCCTGATTCAAACATGAAAAGGGATTGATTGAGAAAAAAGGAAAGGTGAGAAGAGAATGGTTTAAGAAATGTTCCAATTACCAGTTAAGTGTTGTCTATGATAATTTAAACGAGAATTAAGAACACTTTAATGTTAGTCTCATTGCCTGTTACTTTGGCTCTCATTACATCATGCTCTTCTATGAAAATTGATACTAGTCCTTACAATTTGCTGGAGAGCACAATACAAACCGTTGCCAATTATAAGTGCTTTGTTTAGCATTTCTGGAGACGTGTTTTTCTGATGTAATCACGAAATTAGGCTTGTTATTTATCTTTTGCGTTTGAACGGATAACCTATTCTGGGGCACTTTAAAATTACACCTTTGACAAACAGGTAATGTATTACATGTATAATGCATGCTGCAGCTTACGATTCGATGTTATTTATTTTTGCCATGTTCCTTCGTTGTTAAAACTGATCCAAATATTGGAAGTATCTCCGTCTGCATTCTTTCGGAAAGTGAAACTTTAACTTACCGTATACTTTCAGTGTGTTATTGGTTTGGTACACTGGCGTTTGTCTTTCTGTGCCCACGTCACAACGATAAGTTCCTTCATCCTTGACCGTCAGTTTTTTCAAGCTCAAGGTGGAATTGTCTTCTTCTAACGCAGCACTGTCGGCGTAGGCAACGTCTATTGTTACGTTACCCTCGAATAGAGTCAAGATCTCTTGGGAACCAGATTCAGCGCTGTAGTACCAGAAGATGTTTTGTGGCGTGGCTTCCGGTGTGCCCTCCCCAAATGGACATGGTATTCTAGCTGTCCCCCCTCTGGTAATGGACACCTCTAGGCTTGTTCCAGAGATGGTCAAGGACAGAAGAGTGACCAGCACGATGGCTGGAAAAGCTGCATGCAAAAAGAAATGCCCATGCAGTTGCCAAGTTACATTCCACAAAAGAAAAGGACATTTCCAGCGACGAACTTATGTGCAAGAAAAGTCGGATAAGGTTTTACCCGATACCGGGTAAAAAGGAACATATATCATGCAGGTTTGTTGAGTCAGGTTTTACAGAATATTATGTAAATTGTGTATCATATGTGGTTTTCTTTTACCTAATATTTGTGTAAGGTTTTGCAAAGCAAGCATGCGTCATATTCATGTTCCCTTTTATTACTATATTTGATAGGGTAAAGTCCAAATGGGGTGGCGTTTGGGGGCTGGAGTGAAGGAACGGGGGGGGGGGGTTGAGGATTTTCAAATCAGCTTCAATGTCATAGCAAGGATATCCAGCTGAATATACGTGCACGTGATAAACTGATAGTCTTTTCTCAAAAGACGATTGGAAATTAGTCAACCTGTGTCGTCTTTGTAACGCAGAGTATAGTCCTACTACTTTATTATATTGAGCCTTCCGCGTGCACTTCACCCCCGTACAAGCATTACACGCAAATAACACCCACAGGGCCTTTTGATTGCTTCAGAATTCATAACTTACCTCTAGAAAACGTCATATCAAAAATCATAGTTGCTTCTTTGCCTTGCCACAGTTCAATATTCCCAAGCTGAAGTTGTTTTTAATCCTTAAGATAGTGCAGGATCAATCGGTGACGATACTTCCCGGTTCGACCTCACCCTCCACAACTCATGACCCATGACCATCAAACAAATGGCACTGCTTAACCTGCAAAGGTTTTTTCCCCCTAAAATGTTCAAAACGAAACAACAATTCATACAAAAAAATACGCCGCATTCAAATCATTGTTCAATATGGACTTTCATCGCAAATAAACATCTGCCGCAACGGCTTAACATGTACAAATAACCCACGATCATGATAACAGTAAGACTTCATATACATGTGTATTCTAAAGGTAATCAACCAAAACATGTACAAGTGTATCGTTTATGGCCCGCATGTCTAGAAAAGGTTGATATTTGATGAATATGACAAAATGTGACGTGAGGGCTCTCAATTTGTGGATGTCAGTTTTGAAGCAATTCATAATAGAAAAGTGTCCTAGAAAAGATGGCGACTGATATCCCATCATAATTATTTCAATCATGAAGAGGAATATCGGATTGGTTGGACAAAACATTTGTATGTAGTCCCATATGCGTTTTTCGGGGTGCAGTGCATGTTATCTTCAGCAAGATTGAGTCGATTTTTCTTCATATGATCTATCAACAAAATTGCAGTATTTGATACTTATGTACCTCATACAAAATCAACCTTTCCCAGTTGCTTCCAGACAATCCCTTTGAAATTATCATCGCATAACTACTACTCTACTTTATCTTAAAGCTTTTACTAGCCATGGAGAATTAGTAATCAATCTGTATCCACTAGTGTGGACTTTTTTCAAGCTGGGTCATTATTTCATTCAGTGCATTGTTACGTGCCTTTAACAAATGTGTGTGTCTGTACTCTTGGAATAATTATATGAATATACTTCTTGACCGTTTTTTTTTTTTTTTGGGGGGGGGGGGAGGGGGAGATAACATACAGGACTTGTACAGCACATATATCCCATTATAATACGAGCACTTCCAAAGGATTTTTGATATCATTAATCCGGCAACCGTGGCGCTCAGTGCATTAAACGAAGCACATCCTGTCAACTAACCATTAAGTGCACTGACTGTGAGTGCGGCAAACGTAGATTCAAATTAATTCAAAACAATTTGTTTCTGCTTCCAACAAAACGTTACAAATCAATTATAATCATTTACAACAATTAAAGAAAACATATTGGAAACAGAGTGGTCCACTAAAAAGCAATGCTTGTACAAGTGCGGACCCCTCAAATGATCGTTAGGAATAATGAGTAATTAAATTAACACATTCGTAACTACATAAAGGAACTACAAATATATCCAAAAAGAGGGATGCCAACCGAGACGAGAACGGAACGAGAGAGTACCATACATGACTAGTGAGAGATCGGGGATATAGAAAATAATACAAAACGAAGAGCTTCATGTGAGGTTGAGAAGAAGATGAGGAAAGAGAAATGCAGGAGAGGGCACAGTATGATAAAGAAAATTACATTTGTTGTGTAATTACAAATTACAGATGTAATGTGCTACGGCAGAAGTTAGAACCCCGTACCTTGCATTTCACAGTCCGACAAGAAAATTACAAGAACACAGCACCTGTTTAGATTTTGTATGATTTTATTAACTACAAGTTAATAATCTCGAAGTTTCAAAGTCAATATTTGCATATCACTTCGACTATCAATTCATTTCTGACTCATAATTTCACGTTAGCTCAAATTGAAGAGCGCCATCATTAAGAATCATTTTAAAAGTTGTTGAGAACAAAATTGCTTCTAAATTTATCTCTCTCTCTCTCTCGTGACCTCCTCTTCTTGTCTGTCCGACTTCTCTTTCTCTCTTGTCTCCCTTAATTTTGCAGAAAACTTGAGAAAGTTTGGGCCATTATTGCTCGTGAGAAAGGTTGCTTTCGTTTACGGGAAGATCACTCAGATATCATGTTTATTATTTTGAATTTCGTGAACTAGATAGATATTCTAAAAGTTGGCAATGAGAAAGGAGAATTCAGGGGGCGTTTCACAAAACTTGTCATGATGATAAATGATAGTTTTTGTTATGAGCTAGTTAAATCCTTGCTTCTGATTGGTTAGCAGCAGATTTGTCACTGATTTTTGTCATTTGTAATTACAAAAAGGCTTTGTGAAACGAGACCTAGAATAAGGATTGCGGATTGTTGATTGTCACATAATTTCATGCCTATTTTTGAAGATGCTGCCAAATCACAGCGATGTTACAATGTTTAAATTCAAACAAAATAAGCTCAATTTCAGCAGATAACTGCCCAAAAATAGTTCAGACATAGAATCATCAAATTGAGCTTTTTTAGCCAAAACTTTTATTAGTAATAGTAGTTTTGGTAGTATGTAAGTACACTTTATATTGTTGCTGTTGTTGTTATTATGATGATTATTATTGTAAATGTCATTATTTTTATTATCATTATTATCATCACTAGTATCATTTTCATCTTTATTAGGATATTTTATTATTATTATCATTATTATTAATGTATATTACAATCATTATAATTGTTATTATTATTGTTATAATCGTCATCATCATTATTACTATCGTTATTGTAATTATCATTATAACCATTACAGTGTGCTGACTAGCTTCAAGAGTCCCAAATCTGGAAATTGCGGGGGAAACGGAGGCTGGGACTGAGTTTCGTGGCAGGCTTTTGCTGTGAATTCACGAACCGAGACGGTTCAACTTCTGACCTCGCAATCTGCAAACAAATGCCTTTGATTGCTTTTCAATAGGGTCATTATCCTCGATAATCAAGAGTCGGGAATAAAGTTCAATTCCACTGTCCCAGGTCGTAATAACTATACTACGTCATTATCAACCTTTACAGCGTATCGTAAAATGTCATGAATTAAGTACATTTACGTTTACCCAGATACTCATAATAACGTTTAATACTTTTATTTACTTTCGCTAGGAGACGGGGGAGGTTTGATTAAAATAAATGTACAATAATATAACGGTATATCCAACTCCCCCTACTGAAAACATCATCTGTATTCGATTCTTTTTTAATTTATATCAATTTTACTAGAAATTATGATTTTATGACATTCTTTTCTAGGCGTTACCGCAACTGAGTGAATACATAACATCCCTTTGATGATGTGTATTAACTTCTGATATTATTTGTATCCAACTGCATTTATCAATCTTAATATGTTCGTGTTCTATCTATTGGTATCTAAATCACGTCCATTTACCTTCACTTAAGTTTCCTCTCATTTTCTCTCGTTTCCTCTCTCTGTCTCTCTCTTTCTCTCGTACTTCTCCTCCCCTCTCTCTCACACCCTCTCTCTCTCTCTCTCTTTCTCTCTCTCTATTTCTCTTTAATAGCAGTTTTACTTCTCCTGAACATTTCATTTTGTCTTTTCCAATGATTACATACATGCTTAGACTAGGCGTTACCGTAACTGAGTGAATACATAACATCCCTTTGATGATGTGTATTAACTCCTGATATTATTTATATCAAACTGCATTTATCAATCTTAATATGTTCATGTTCTATCTATCGGTATCTAAATCACGTCCGTTTACCTTCACTTAAGTTTTTCTCTCATTTTCTCTCGTTTCCTCTCTCTTTCTCTCTCTCTTTCTCTCGTACTTCTCCTCCCCTCTCTCACGCCCGCTCTCTCTCTCTCTCTCTCTCTCTATTTCTCTTTAATAGCAGTTTTACTTCTCTTGAACATTTCATTTTGTCTTTTCCAATGATTTCATGCATTCCTGTTTCCTCTATACTTTCTTACCAAGATAAGAAAAGTCATAACATGATTATAACAAATTTTCATGATGAAAGTTTGCTTTAATATTCATAATAAGAAGTATATGGCTTGTTATTTTCAATATTTGTATGCAATTCAATGGTATATCTATTCATGGTTTCAAGCACAAGATGGCGCATGCTAACCCTTATCCGAAATTCAATCTGAAACATTAAAGAGTTGAAACAATTATCAAGAGACATCAACTGCTGAAGCACTAAGTGGTACAATAATAAGTGGGAATGTGTGAGTACAATTCACAAATACGCAAATAGAAGACCGTGAAGATTATTAAAACACTTTCAAGTAGAGTAATGGGGTAATAAATGATCATCCTCATCATCAAGTGCTAGGCCTATAACGGACAACGGCGGTCAAGGCAAAACGTTTCTGTGTACTGTCCGCTGTCCTAAATAGCTAGTACTGCTCATCTAATTGTTGGTGCCCATTAATTTTGTTCACGCTTTGCAAATAAGGTGTTGCCTTCCCCTGCTCCATTGCTCAATATTCTATGTTAATATATTTGTTTCTTCTTCTACATCATCTTTTCTGAATATGTGGGCAACATATTTGTTTGCCTCTTTCTTATTGTGCTGATGAGTGATGGTTTTACTCATGCTTTTCTTAAAGGGGCTATAGCATGACGAGACTACGTGTCTTTCCCGTAGCCTGACTCGGGGCCAAACGGACGACGCGGCCGCTCTAGGCCTATATACGCACATGCGTGTAACATACGCGAAACCGAAGCGTGAGGAGAACTTCGATCTGCTTCTCGAACGCTAGCGCTCGCTGACCGTTAATCGAGTCCATTCGTTTATGTGCAGTTGTCCAAAAGATGCTACACCCCCTTTAACACTTCTTCGTTTGTTATTTTTTCTGTCCATGATGTATTGATAATCTTTCTCAAGAACCAGGTCTCTGAAGCCTCTTATTTTCTAGCAAGCGTTTTTTTTATTTTTTATTGTCGTGCACTCACACCTGATAATAATACATTCCGTATAAGTATTTACTTTATAATATTATTGGGTACATTATTTTACAGGTTGTTGCTAGTCAATATTTGCGCATAAGCACATTTGGGCCTATAGGGGTGAAGTGTATATCCAATGTTAAAACCGGGGTAATAGCACGGTTGCAGGGCCCTAAGTTCGATGAGTATTGATACTGATGAAGATACTATATCGTCACGAAACAGTTCAAAAATATTAGACGATTGGTATTGTGATATTGTGTTAGAGCTGCCGTTACAGTTTCCTGCGTTTGCATGCTTGCGATCTTTACCGGTAGAACCTACGAAGGTAAAGTTACCAAGACATCATATTGCATGTTTGTTGTTATTATTGCAATTACAAGTGTTATTATTATTATTGCTACTGTTTTTATTTGTGGTGTCGTTGCATTAGCATAACAGATTAACACCCGAGGTCAACAGATATATATGCCTGTCGTGGGTTTGAATCCAGCCCAGGCGAATGATTAAAGCCTGCATTGTGTGTTAGCGTGCTCTCGTTTGATTTGTAGACGCATGCTGGGTAAAAGTGGAAAGCACTCCGTCCCTCGGATAGGGTGAGAAGGCCACGTGTAGAGGAGACTGCCTTTGCACTTATTCGTATAAGATAAGTGAATAAATAAATGCTTTTCCCCTCCCAGATACAGACGACACCAAATACTAAATAATGATAATGAATAATAGATACACTAATGATAATAATATTAATGTGAGACCTGTGCATGAAGCATCGTAGAATCACCAATGTCACGATATAGAAATTAATTCCTTTAGAAATTTGATTTAATTTGTTTTCAAGCAACAGGCAATTGTTTAACTTTTTCCTACAGTTTCCCTGCAAAGAAATCTGCATCAAACATCAATATGGGTACGACATACATCTGGATGATCAGTTTAGTGCTCTTGTGCATGCTTCACGAAGGGTCTTGTGAGCAGCCAATCAATATCACATTTGGAGATGTCACTCAAGTGATTATGTTTGAACGCCAGGAGGAGACCGTCAATGTGTCCGTTGTTTCGTATGATGGAAACGATGTAATCTCGGTCTACTTTGAAAGTGAAAACTTATATACGTTTGAGGTCGTGAACAAGACATTCGCGCGATTTGAAATAAACCCCGAAACAATCTTTCCCATGACCTTCGCAGTGACCGTGAAGGGAAGACACATCGGTATTTCGGAACTTCGAGTTCTGGTGGCAGCGTTGGGATCGGATAGCAGTGAACAGGTAGCATCACTTGTGGTGAAGATCAAGGTCGGTAATGCCATTTCCCAGGTGATTCTTCAGTATGTTTTCTATGCCCCTATTATCAGTGCGTTGTTCATGATGGGAGCAACTATGGACGTTGAAGCCATAGCGGGTTGCTTCAAGCATCCACTACCCATCTTTATCGGATTCTTCTGTCAATTCGTCGTAATGCCCGCTCTTTCCCTTGGTATCGTTAAGTTGGTTGGACTTGATGGCAGTTACGCGCTGGGGTTGCTTCTATTAGGGTGTAGCCCAAGTGGGAAGACAAGCAATGATCTGACTGTTCTCCTCGATGCAGATTACGTCCTAAGCATTACAATGACAGCGTGTTCAACAACCCTGGCCCTAGCTATGATGCCTCTGAACATATTCATCTACACACGGTTCCTGACAGAAGCAAACATCGAAACGCCGTATGCTCAAATCGCGATGCAGATAGCGATCCTTATGACCCCTGTCCTGCTTGGGATCCTCCTGAAGTACAAGTTTCCACAGGTCAAAGAGAAGGTACTGAAGATCCTAAAGCCCGTCCTGGTAATCATAATGCTAGCTTCTGCTGCTATGACGATGTATTATTCATGGTATATCTTTTTGTCTCCCCCAACCGTCTACCTTGCTGCTTTCCTGCTGCCTTTTTGTGGAGGGATCCTTGGTGGACTCATTGCAAAACTTTCGCAACTTCCCAACGCGAAGGTGATTGCTGTATCTATGGAGACAGGCGTCCAGAATGGGTTGTTCACTTCACTCGTCTTGAGGGTGGTGTACCCCTCCCCTGAAGCAGACCTCGCTACAGCCGTTCCAAGTCTGGCCTTTTTTTCAATGCTTTTCATTGGCATCTTGATAATCATCAGCAGGATGGTCTTCAATCGATTCTTTAGCCGGAAAGATGCCGAAGACACTCAAGATATCATCCAACGTCACGAGGCTGAAGATGATTCGGTTGAAGATCATAATGGAAAAGGAATTGAGCTCACAAGTATCAACATGCTGGATCAAGAAGAAGTCATGACCGAAGACAACAACAATGACTCTGCAGGAAATAAAACTTTTCCTCACGATGTCGGTGATATCAATGGTAGAATCTGAAGTTACACTAATGCGGCACCGCATTGTGGGCTTTCTGGTCCTTATTCTTGAAGAAAGCAGGTTAAATTAAACCAAGCTTACTGTGAATTGATGTACCGAACCAGTATAAGAAAAACAACAGCAAACGATTGGTGCCGACTGCCTTTCAAAATGTTCGCAACCAACAATAGGGTGATCACACTGTGCACATACACATACACAAAAGCAGTCAGTTGGTAGAAATAGCAATTTTCGTAAATTTATTAACAAAAAAACTGAACAATATTTTTTAATTTTTATTTCACATATCTTTCAAGCATACCTTTAACTACAGAATTATTAGAATATTGTCTTTTCAGCCATGTGTGGCATGGCCATCTGATCGCCCATTGACTGTTATTCTGCGTGGTGAAAATGCATCTCATTGTATAAAACTTTTCTACAAAAATGCAATATCCTCATATGTTCCACTCATTAAATCAATTTGTTATTTACACTCAAGGTAGCCACAACTGTACTAAGGTAAATAAATTGTGTTTTTTTTTTGAAATTCAGTCCTTGTAAAATGTTATGGCCTGTTGAATTGAATGGTTTCTCGAAAAATCGTCATAAATCCTCAAATCCTCAAAACTATACTGTAATGTAGCTGAAAGTCAGCAAATTCTTATCATTTGTTCGGTTTTTCTGAATAATTTGTGAAACATATGAGAAAATAGCTGTGACGGTGATCCAAGTAATTTCCATCGCCATATTTTATTGGCATTGCAAAAATATTGGGAATTTAATGTTAATATTTGGTGTGTGTGTGTGTGTGTGTGTGTGTGTGTATTGGGTTTTTACAGACGTGTATCAATCAGATATGATTATTTACGTCTGGGACCGACCTTTAAACGTCACCATCCGAAAGACGTGACTCAGTTTCGAACCTGCGTCCTCGGCTGAATCAGTTTGTAACTTCCACTTTTTAGCTGGATTACAGGCGCACGCCACAACGCCTAGTTGTAAATATGATCTATAAATATATTTTAAAAAATGCCAACAAAATGAACAGTTTGACTTTCCTATATATATAATTAGATGAAATGACCTAATTTGCATATTTGATGAATATTCTTTTTTTTTTTTTTTCAAAAAAAATATATTTCCATACCTGTCTGATATACATAGGTTTCATTGATGCATCATGTTCGGTTTTGATTTGATTACATATGCGCATATTAATTAGACGGACTTAGTTATTTTCACAACTTTTTCATATCTGCAGATTCGCAAAAATGGCAAAAATGACTTATTTTGTTTGCTTCTGTTTTCAAAACGGTAATAGATATATGAATTTTCTTTTTTGTATTCTTTACTACAATGATGATATTTAGTGTCTGATAATTTAATTTATTTTTTGTGTCCAACAAAGTGATGAATTAAGTTGACAACTTTGTCGAATTTTGCCATTTTTGCCAATTTTACCATTTCTGGCAGGTTTTTCGGTAATTTTGCGATATCAAAAAAATGGTATAAAATTACAACGCATTGACCGATTTCAATTCTGTTTTTTCGTTTTTTGAAGCTTTCATAAAGCTTGATCATTTGCAATCATCAAATAACATGTGTTTGTTGTACTTATTTTTGGTGTGCTATACCTACTAATAAACATATACAAATAATAATAACAACAACTCCACTTATTTAATGGAAGGCTAAGTGTCAACGCAAATCCTGTGATTTTTTGTTATTTAGGAACTAAATAAATTGTCCAAAAGGGGAGAAAATCTCTTCTAAAAACAAGAATAAATTTCGGAAAAATTGTGTTCGGGACTACCATGTACATTACTTGAAAAACCCATTAAAAAATTAGCTCGTACCGATTTTTTTATTTTTTTATTTTTTAATGAGTAGTACACATTAGCGACATATAAGTGCCCTGCATGCCACGGCCGCGCAGCTCTGCCGACTTCCGTCCGAATTTGTAAAGCAAAAAATGGTATAAAATCGTCGGATTGCAGCCCGAATGTCGATCGAATGTTTGCCGATGCCCGAGCGATCTAGAGGTGATCTGTGTACGGGTTCTGCGACCTCAAAATTCGGCATTGGAAAATCGCTGAATTGGAAGCAGGTTTCAGTGCCCTGCGAACGTCGGCCGACCCCTTAAAAACGCGGCAGAGTCACAGTCATCGAGCAGACACCGGCCCTATTCCTGGCGAAAGTGCCCTTTTGAGCTCGCACAGAAGTCGGGCACGCTCCGTTTAGGATATGTGTCGGCCCCTAAACGAACGGCGATTAACACAGCCTGCTAGTGTGCACGACAGAGTAATGCTTCGTGCTATAATATTCCGCCTTTTCCATTCAAATCTCTCTTTCTCTCTTTACAAAAATATTGCCCTGAATTGGCAATGTTTTTGTGTTTGGGATAAAAGATGGTTCATGTAACTACTCATTCATATAAGGTATGCTTTTATTTCTATTAAACTTTAAATGTTGAATTTTACAACTTTACTTTCGTGTGAATTCCGCGAAACATAGCAGCTAGCTACCTCGAGCTAACAGCATATACCGCTAGCTATTTGCAATGGCAACTCACTGTGCGTCCACATGCAGCGACTTATTTTCGGGAACTTAGGCACTGTATTTTTTTGCGAAGTTTGCATTGACATTGCAAAAATGGGTGAAATTTCGGCAGGCGTTTAATTATATAGAAAACACTCCAAAGTTGCACTTTTAGCTTTTGATAATTCGTCATGTGATAAAAAGTGTAGTGTAAATGCAGTTATTCTAGCAATTATTGAAATGATAAATGAATATGGAGTTCATTTGGTGAAAGGCCTAATCATCGCAATGTATACAATATCAATAAGGAGCTTGACCTTTGACTTGGTACTACTCGACGACTCAGTCAGGGATTAAACCTGACTTAAAATTAATCCGCTGTTAAGAACACTAGCCCAAATAGTTTTTCTGGATTTTTGCCCGAGCTAGGAACTCACAAGAAAATGTCTAGAGGAGAGGGAAAATATGAGTGAATTTGAGGAGGGGAAAGGGCCACAAAAGGGAAGGGGCTGTTAAGCAACACTTTTTCTTCTTGAAAGGCAGTCACAAAGATATACATGTTTATTGATAGTACATAAGGATAACATTTGACAACGAGAGTATATTAAAGTGCCTAAACTTGTAATAATCACCAGTGTAAATTTCGATAAAATGTTTGTAAAGTGCTGTGATACATTACTGTAGTTGCGATATACAAACACCAATATTGTATTATATTGTAATTGTTTGCATTGCATAATGTAAATGCTCATCAAATTATGATATTCATGTGCCTGTTCATTTTGTTTTGCAAAATCCTCCCCTCCTACCCTCCATAACCCCACCGGCCTTGCTTATTCCTTGTATTTCACTCTCCTACACATGCTATACACCATATACAATAGAACCTATTGAATGGCAGGATCCGTAGGGGTGTACCCGTGCCGAGGAATAAGGGGGGGGGTGGTATCGCAATCAGACGCTGAGATTTATTGCACAAACCAGGGTGAGACTATAAAACACTCCGCTAACGTAAATTGGTGTGAGATTTGAAGAAACTAAATAAAATAGGACTCATTGTAAGACGCTATAAAACTTGTTTCTCTTTTTGCAATGTAATAGTACATTAAAGACAAATTTGTATTACTATAAGAATCCCTAAATTGATTTTGTCCAAATTGTCAGAAACTGATTGATTTGTAAAATAATTGTTCCCTTGAAGAATGAGAAGTACATTTGTACAGGCCACCCTTCCCTCTACACACTAAGAAAAAATGGTGCAAGTATGCACCTTTAGGGGTGCAAACCAATGAAACAATAGCAGCACCTTTAGGGGTTAAATCATGCACCCTTTTTAAAGGTGCAATCCTGCACCCTTTAAAAGGGTGCCAGATTGAACCTTTTAGGGGAAATAGTACCCTTTATGGTTCATTCCTGCACCTTCAGGGGTGCAAACCGATGCAACACTAGCAGCACCTTTATGGGTTCAATCCTGCACCCTTTAATGGTACTATGTCCCGATTGCAGGCCAAAAAAATGAAAAAGTTAAATTCCAATTGCATTTGAAAGATAGTACTAATTTAGAACTTCCCTAAAAAAAGTAGGGCTATAGAGCCCAAAAGTAATAGTCTTGATTGTCAGACAATATTGTACCGAATAGTTATACGTTTTATGCTGCGCAAAGATTCAATCAGTTTAATTCTTGGCCATCACAAGAAGTGGGTTATTGATGTAGACAAATGTGTACCCTTTACAGCTCATTTTATGTATGTTATTACCAAAGAAGAAAAAGGCCAGTCAGTCACTCAATAGTGTCTGACAGTGAAGTCTAGTAAGTAAACGGGTTTCCTTGCATAATTTGAATATGAGGACACTGCTAACGTTTAAATTTCACAGATAGGACATATATGACATATATGACATATTCATAATTCCTGCAAAGTTCTACAGAATTTGAGGTTGGCTGCAAAAGGGACATATTATCTTTAAAAGGGTGCCAGATTGCATCTTTTAGGAGACATGTTAATACCCTTAATGGTTCAATCCGGCTCCATTAAGGGTGCAAACCGATGCAATAACAGCACCTTTAGGGGTTCAATCCTGCACCCTTTAAAAGGTGAAATCTTGCACCCATCGTCGAGGAATACTGGTAAAATTTGCTCGTACACAAATACATATTAAACATGCATGATGTTTCTTGGTTAGTAATCATATAATCAATTTATCTATAGCTAAAACGTGAATGTAATTGTAACATGATCAGACAAAATAATCTATTGGTTAATGATTGCCAAAGGTAAATACAAATCACAAAATATTATTAATGTGCATTGTCATAATTTGCTTAACAAATCATGATAAATGTATTTTTATGTGAACACGTGGAAAGTAATCATGAATATGCATGCAATATGCAAACTTTTATTTTGCACCCTTTTTTGGTCGATAGGGTTCATTTTTGTGGGAAGGGTGCAAAATCTTATATTGCGCCCATTTTTGAACCCCTTTTCCTTCAATAGGGTTCATTTTTATGTAAAGGGTGCAAACTCTTATTTTGCATCCTTTTTTGCACCCTTTTTTCTTAGAGTGTAAAGTATGTGGGGGTATCCACCCCAACCCCTAATATTCACGTCCATGCATGGCCTACGGTGAATGCATCTAGGAATGAACCAGGATGACACCATTGAATTAACATTTCGGAAAAAAGTGCATGACCTTGCATAACCTCGTACTAATAATCTTGTGAACGGAAAGGTAGTTGACATTGATCAACTGGGAAGATGAAGAATGGCGTATTTAGAATCAAAACATAACCTACAAACTGAGTCGTAAAAAGTACATGTAGTCAAAGCTTAGGGCTTTTAATGCGTGTCAACACATACAAATCTCTGTTTATAGTTTCAATGTATTAAACAGGTTATATTACTTGTTATCTGCGGCCTATTAACCTCAAATATATATTTGCCGTTTGATTTCTGTAGAAAACAACAGTACATTCACGGGACCTCACTCATTTGTTTGTATTATGAAAAGTTATATAAATTACGTTACATATTAAAATTCATTTATATAGTAGAAAATGGATATTGGATTGATTTTGTTTTCTCACTTTTGTCTCATGATTCTTCCATCTGAATTGAACAATGTATTTGAACGGTTTGTTGTTATTCTTTTATCATTGCCAAATAATTTCAATGTGGTGGTGAGAAATCGAATTCCTATACAGGCTAGTCTGCATGCGCAGACTTTAAAGCGGAACGACACTACGTGTAGCTACTTGCGCCCTCTATAAAGCAAACAATATCTAAGCGGTACCCGTTGATCCCCCGTGGTTCCCCTTTTCTTATGTTAATTGAGAGCCGATTTGATGAGATAACCAGCTGCCAGTGACCATCCGGGGGGGGGGGTCTAATCCCCCTGGCCAAACTAGTGCAGATAGGCTTTAATTCGACATTTCATGTATTTTTGAGGTAGGCCTCTATCAGACTCTGGCTGTGTCAAATAAAAATAAGCTTAAGTACAGAACTAAACTTGAACTATTTTTTACTTATCATTTGTACAAAGACATACCTTTCATTAGTTGCAACAGTAAACGTGTTACCCAAAACTATGAAGTATAGTATCCTGCATCAACAATTTATTGGTTTTTGATTGGTTGAAAGCTCGTCACGTGAACTATTCTATAGTTGCTTTGAAAAAGTATTGTTTGGGAGTATTGTTTGGGAGTTGATTTTTTTTTCTTCTACATATCTCAATTGAATAATTTTTTTTTTTTTTTGTTAATTCTTTTTTTTTATACAAATTGAAATTTCCTAAATATTTCAATACAAAATGTCATTTTTGTTTTGTTTTCGGTTTTTTAAATACTTTTTTTTATGCAGGACATCAAACAAATATACCATGCCTTCTTTTCGAAGTACTGGTTAAAACTATGGGCCTCGGTAACTCTAATAGTACCATTTGCTTCTGGGCTGCGCCCCTCAGCAAATAGTACTATTGGAGGTCACCTCTTGCGCATAGTTTTAAAAAAGAACCTCGCATGCATCATTTGTATACAATCACATATTGAATAGTATACATACCATATATGCAATACTGCAAAATACTAGTATAGTGCCAATAGAAAGAAGCCACTGAAATGCTTAAAGTCGATGATACGATGAGCCTACAACCTTCCGTCCGGAATTCGAGGATTTAAACCGGTTTTAGGTCCTTGTCCCCATCGTACCTGACCTCGGAACTCATCTTTGTTTTTCTATCACGGCTCTAGTAATACCCCGACTCTGAAATTGAGCTCTCTTCCGATCCTAAGTTTTCCGAAGCATAGTGATAATCGAGAGCAGATTTAGCCAAATCAGTGGGGTCGATTGACCCATAGTAGTTTTACGTTGACGCCTCGACAAGGTTACTATACTTCACCAGACTGACAGTGAAGGATTTAGAGAGGTCGAGAGTCAGGAACAACTTGCGGAGGAGGAAGTTGTAATTTAAAGCCGCCTCATATTCACTATATTCTGATATATATTGAATAGCCCTACAAGCCTTAATTGGTTCATCATTCCGAATAATCACACAACTATTTTCACCAATATTTATCAAAAGTAAGAGCCATGTCGTTGACTTCTGGTAGGTGTTGACGTCAAATTGAAGATATTTTGAATATTGAAGTTCTACGAGACATAAGGCGGTGTCAGGATGGCAAAGCATAACCAGGAAAGTGGTCGACTTCTTTCGATATTCGTCTGGACATTTGGTGAGTGTAAGCATGTTCTAGATGGTTCGTATTTTTCTGATTTCCAATTTCAAAATCCGATTATTTCTGTAATTTCGGTAAGCCTTGTTGCTTGAAGATGATTCTGTAAATGAATAATAATTGATAATAATTAAAATACATTTAGCTAGCTATCAACAAGATGGGTTTGAAACTGTCGCCTTTGCATCATGATAATACAAAAGGATGTTGAATTTAACTTTGAATACCGGTAATGACTTTTTTACGCCAGAATTCTGTCCCGAAATAGTCCCCCAGTTTCATTTACAATTTTCTACCTTTCCAACGGGAATGCGCCGTGATATTAATCAACATGGTTTTAGCGAAATCAGAAAATAAGAGAAATCGTTCAGTAAAACATTAAGCAAAATCTGATTAAAAATAAGAAAGTTATGATTTTGTTAAAGTTGCAATCATGTGACGTATCTTGCGAGCTCCCCTGCCATTTAATTTGTACTAAAAAATATGTAAGAAATTCATTCGATATATATTATATTTTTCCTATAAAAATACGTGCACACTAAATATGTTTATTTCAAATATGATTTTATACAACCCCTATATGAAACAAATTTATTCCGCCAAAAATAACTAAAAAAATGAAAGTTATTAAAACAAAAAAATGCAGAATTTGGAGAGGAGATATGTCGCAATGTAGGCACTTTTGTTCCACTGATGAAAACATTAAAGAAAACATTACTTTCCTATTTTTAATTGGATATTGCTCAAAATTTCACTTTTTGTATTCTTGTTTCTCTGCTTTTATTAATACAAGCTCGCTATCATAATAATAATAATAATAATAATAATAATAATAATAATAATGATAATAATAATAATAGCCTAATAGTCCACTCCAAATTTTATTAAACCGAAACGGAAATTCTTTTTGCCCAATTGATCGTGAGCCCGGCAGCCACTGAGCAGCGCCAGATCGACGTTGCTCTATCCCTTATCATGGTGGACTTCCCCTTTAAAATAGATCGATTTCATCCCACTGATTAAACCCAAGCGCCTTTCTCAGTGCGAAGAAGATTATGGATAATAATAAGAATAATCCCAACACTATTAGACAAATAACCTGTGGGATGGGGTCGACAAACGCTCCTAAGAATTGTGTTAAACTTTCCCTTATCATCCGTGGACTAAATTCTGTCATGCACATCTGTATGATATTATTTGTATTACTACATCCTAGGTTCGGCTAGCACTTGTGCTAACTAGTTCCCAATAACAACTTCACCTAAATATAGTAATACACATATTTACGTATATATTAATGTACATTAAATAGTATGCAGAGGTATGTCTAAATATCGTTTAAAAAACATTACTGTTCAATCAACATTACTCTTATGGTATGTATACAGGTATCAGTATTATTCTTTGTATTGTATGATTGTTAATATGTACTGTCATTGTTATGATGTGTTGTTGTTAATAAATTCAAATTCAAATTCAAAGTCAAATTAATCTGGCTGGACATTACATAATATTTACAGGTGACAACATTTACCGTCAGGAGTGGGTTTACAGACACATTAAAACCAAACATTACCCCTCAAACATGGTATTGAAGGAAAGAAATATAATTTGTCACTGTCCAACTCAACAGTGATACATTCAATGTAGTTTGAATGTATATAATGAAACATTGGGTTTCATAATTCTTTAAAGGTGCAATTTAGTGTCCAATGATCATTTTCTTTATGAAAGAATTTTGAATAGTGTACTATTTTATTAAAGGTAGCCAAAACACTTCACAAACTATGAATATTTTTGTATTATAATATATATATATATATATATAGCATATGAAATTTTCAGTAACCAATTAATATAATATAATACAGCCATTGGCGCTCTCATAGGGGGCGTACTTGGAAAGCAGATTTTTTTTGTTTATTTTTTTTTTTTTTTTTTGAATGTGCGTACCATCTATTTTGAAAAAAACTTGAATAAATAATAAATCTTCATCTGTTTGAAGAGACGTAATACATGAATACAGGCCGCATTAATGTTTGATTCTGCATTTTATTTCTTGTAATATCTTTCCAATTCAGATCCATATCCCCAAAACCTGACATAAAAACAAATTCTAACCCAGAACTCGACCCTATATCTTTGACAAAATAAAGGCTGGAGCAAAATATCAGGTCACCTCTCCTGTATGAACTAGTTGTAGTAGGTTGTTATTATGAAACAACAATCATTTCCTGATTAGTACCATGCAATAACTAAGATTTGACACGCACTTGTACAAATTACTAAACCAGACATATAAAATGCAAAGTCTGAATGCCGTTACAAGCTAAGCATTTGCATGATTGAAATATTACGTTCGGTCTATAAACATTTTCTCGAAAGCAGAATTGTTTTCGGGGCTCAATTTTCTAGTGATTATAATATCCACAGAGGCATCCAAATATATCAACATTTTAAAGAATTACTATCCATCCATTTTTCAAAATTTTCCAAAACTGTTTATCACCTTTAACTTCTTGAAATTTGATCCAATCACATTTTTTATCGAACTTTTTTCATTTTTCCCTTTCACTTCATTTTATTATGTAATTCAGGGTCTCCGGAAATGAATGTTGAACAATAATAATGATAATAATAGCAATAATAATTATAATGAACATGAAAAAAAAAGAAGAAGAAGGAGGAAAAAGAAGAAAAAGGAGGATAATAAGAGGAAGAAGGGGACCAAGAACAAAAAGGATATCAGTTATATGAACAATAGGTGAAATACATTATGACTTTACGGGGCGCAACACAGAGGTATTTGTATATGCTATATAATTGATACTAATGAAGAATTTTAAACGATATAATGTAATACAATCATAACAAATATACGATTAAAGGAAATTAATCTGGCATGCTATATGTATAATGAGCAAATGATAGGGTAAACAGCTTTAGATCAGGAGGCGAGATAATTGACACGGATTTCATATCATAAAAATCTAACATGGACAGCTTGATCGGACTAGTCAATATCAAGCGTATAAAAAAATCATAAAACTAGATAATAATAACGTTTTAAAAACATTTAGGCATGATATACGTGACTTACATGAGCAAATAAATGTAAATACACAACTTTGGGACATTAGCCAAGATAATTTTTGCATATTTAACATCATAAGAATTGAACACGGAAAGTTTTATTACGTTGTCGACTTTGTCTGGCAATAATTTAAATTACCTTGTCGGTAGTTCATGATAGCTTAATTTATCTCCTTTTCTTTTAAAACAAATCGAAAAGTTGTTAGAATCATTTTGTGCGCAGATCATTATATTACTGTTGATGTTGTTTTGGGGAGGAATAATTGTGCGCAAAAACAACTTACTACATATGCAAGTTATTTTAAAGATAAACTTGAGTTCTGGTAAAAAATTAAAAAATGAATTCTCACAGAATCTTACGAAACTTATACTGAATGTTCAAGATTACAATTAAATGTCATGTGCCAAAAAAATTTGGAAGAAAATGTATAATGGCTGAGTAATGAGCATAGAAAGATAAGGAAATCAAGGTGGTACTAGCCCCGACACCATTTGTGTTGTCCCATATACATCTTTCTGTGTACAGTGATTGTTACTTTACCAAGACTGGGTCAAATTTATGGTGATTTTGATGACTCCAGAATCTTGCAGTACACACCAATACTTACATGCTATATGATCAACTTTTTCTGATCCATTCCACACCTTTTCTTTCACAATGCAATCGTATTACTAGAACTCGCCTTTATCTTTAAAATAACGAAATGTACTGTTTATAAAAATACATTGTGATATTACCCTTTTCCTAAAGACCATTGCCTCTGTTTGTATAAGATTCGCTAAGCTCGGTGCAGGTTAATCCGTAGTCCCATTCAGTGTCCTGTTTTTTTATCGGCTAGGTCAATCTATTTTGTTGAAAACTCACAAAGGGGCTTCTTCTTTCATGTCCTTTTAGCGGATTTATAAACGATTTATATTTTTCGACTTATTTTTTCAACGGTCACATGGTTTCCTCTTCTTCCACTTGTAGTATTGGTTTTATTTTGTTTTATTTTGTTTTATTTTGTTTTACTCTTTTTTTTTGGGGGGGGGGGTTGTTCATCTCCATTCAACTGAATACTCTTAAAGGGATATGATATCGACTTTTGAATTGGTGCTTTGAGTGATTTCTTTCCACATGGATACATCAGTGCTCAAAAAGATTTTAAGGGAATAGTTGAAGCTTGAATAAATAGTTTTGTTCGATTCTTTTTTCTTTTTCTTTTTTTTTTTGGGGGGGGGAAGCCTATGTGAAAGCAGAATATGTGCGTTTCATTACATGAGCTCATAATAGGCTCTTTTGACCACGCTCAGGAGATAGGCTGTTACGTCTTAAACACCGAAGTTGATTGTATTTCACAGATCAGCTTCTTTTTTATTCACCAATAACACTGAAAGCTAAAGGTAACCCACATCCGAAACCTAGCACTAAAACTGATTGTAGGTAACACTAAACGTGACACTTATCCTAATAAGCCTTTACCTAGCTGTTCACCAAGAATTAGTCCTAACACTATGCCTGACACTATACTCTTACTGGGTTTCGTAGAACCATTATGATGTCGCCCAATGTGAAGCTTTTGCCTCTCTGTTACCAAATGTTGGTTTTCTCCTGCCTCTATTTCTCAACCCGAGCCAGTCCAACGTTTAATATGACGCCCTCTCCTTCTAGTTACTAAATGGTGAACACATTGTTCTTCATGTAAACAAACACTTCAAAATAACATGATTAAATACTAAGGCCAATACAATCCATTGTTTTCTAGCAAAATAAATGGGACTTCATAAGTTTCTTGGACTGGTTAACTGACGAAGCGTTCTTCCCAAATGGAGGTATGGTTGATTTAACCAAAACCCTGTTCTTTTCGTTCCCAGTGTTACTTCAAATGTTCATAGGAACCCTTGGAGGGGGACCCTATCCGCCGGAGGACCGGGAGCTCTGCCAGCAGAACGAGGTGGATGCCTGCAGAAGACTAGGCTTCCGCAACATCTCTATGAGCAACATATTCGGCTGGACGGCAGCTCAGGTCGAGATCGTAGAGGAGGTTGAACGCCTGATGCCTCTGGTGGAAACAGGGTGTTCCCGGGACCTCCTTGCCCTCATCTGTGGGGCCTACCTACCAGCATGCGACTATCAAACAGGGGAGAGAATGCCCCCCTGCAAAGACACATGCAGGAAGATCATCAACCAGAAGTGCAAGGGTCAGATGAAGCGCATGGGCTTCAAGTCAGAGGAAGTCTTCGGATGCAGAAACTACCCTTCCAGGAGAGAGGAAAAGAAATGCCTGACTGGTGAGTTTATTGAGTATTTCACCTCTTAAAACCCTTATTGTGCTCTGGCTTTCTTGTCAAATTGATGTTTATATTTTCTATTGGTGCATTTCTAAAGAATTTTAAACTTCCCCTCTTAAAAAAAAGTACAACCACCACCGCCTCAATTTTGCCAATGCCCCATGAATACCAGTTGTTTAGATTGTTTTTATGCTTGTTCTTATGCAGATCTCAGCACCTACAGAGAACAAGAGACCACCACTTCAACTACCTTCACCACCACCAACACCACCACCAACACCACCACCAATACCACCACACCCGTCATGAACACAACCAGCACCGAATCCACACCCAGGCCGGAGGAACCATACGTCCCTTCCGTCATCTTCACCGTGGAGCGATCCGCGTCGAACGATGGCTGGGTGCTGGTCAAGGACCCGAAACCCAACCTCAGTCCGGAGGTCACAGGCTTTGACGTCATCTACTATAACGACCGGGGAGATGACGGCGGTGAGGGCGTGATTGCTGGTGAGGATCAGCTCCATCTTGATTTGACCTCAGATGCGGCTTACACGGTTCTGACCCGAGCCTTCAACCAGACGGATGTTGGTGCTTTTGAAGATGCCCGCATGGAACCTTATATTCACCGTAAGAACATGTCTTTTTTTTAAACATATTTCATCTCCCTGTTTTATTTCTGCTGTAAAATCTAAAGACAAACAGAGACAAACTGTAATTTCAAATCGGGCTCGAAACTGAATCCTACATTCAACGTAAGAGCTTTAGTTGTTTATCACTTGCGTGAAGAAAATGTGATATGACAAGTTGTTTGTTTTAACGATACGCCTATGGATATAATTCATCCTTGACTTTGGCCGATTCATATCATAAGAAAGGAAATACAAATTATTATTTCCATTCGTTTTATGATGTAATAAATAACTGGGTCCTATTTAAATACTAGGGTAGCTGCATCGATACCACAACCGGGAGCTATGCGATTAGTTTTTATTCGACTTTTCTCTGATTTATGACATCTTATCGCAGTACTGTGGAGCCGTTTAAAGTTCAAGGTAATGATACGACCTTGAAAACGAATAAGCCGGTCACTGACATTTAATCAAAGTGCGATCAACCCACGCATGATCGTAGCACGTATGGAACCTGGATATAAAGTCAATCATAGAGGGTCTTTATGGAGAACGATCAAACATTATTTTATGGACTACATGGGAAATAGAGGATATTGTACAGCTACGGAGATACAGTGGCGTAGATTTTACAAAAAAGGGGCACAGGGGCACGCCCCTCCCCCATTTAAACGATGAAATCAAATATAACCAAAAATGAAAAGAGAGAACGGGAAAGGGAGAAGGGGTTAATGAGGAGAAAATAAGACGTATGGACCACATCCCGAACCCTTTCCTTTAATCAGTCTTGTAAACTCGCCCCTCACGTTTAGAATAAAACAGGTGCCCCGCAGTCGTTCCTTTGCCCCCCCCCCTTCATCCCCCTTAATGGATGGACTCACACTATGCCATTGAGGAGGAGCTTGTTTGATTGATTTGAATTAACTACTACGGTTAACAATCATTCATAACCCTTCTAAATTAGATTTTTGTGTTTTTCGTAACTCAGGAATGAAAGCTGAACTGGTCGAATTAGGGTCTTTGTTGAATACATTTAGATGTATGCTTCAATGAGTCACATTCTCCAACAACATTAATTGAAACAAATCAACTTTCACATACCTCAGAAATTACAAAAATCGATAAGGGTATAAATATTGTAGTTGTTAACTATATTTATTTTTGCTGCCTTGACATAATAGTCATTGTGCCGCGAGGTTCCCAGACATTGTAATAATTACTATTCTGAAAAGTGAACTCACCCCTTAATTAAACATGTCAGGGCTAACAGGTAGTCAAGGTCATGATCATGGTGGTTATCTACGAATAGTTCAGTCCATTTAATTGATACGTGATTGACCCGTCAATTCCATTGGTTATCGGGCAGGGACCTGAGGTCAGCCATATGCTGCTTTAGACGGTGTATCTATATTTTCAAAACTCTTCTCTGCTCTCCCTTTTTCAGATTCCTAGTAACAACCATTCAATTTAAAAGCAAATTCAAGCGACCCACTTCTTTGCGATTTTTCTGTTTGATTCATGCAAGTTATCGATCATCTATAAGAACTGAAATGGTGCCTTATTTATTTTAAAATCGAACCATCAGATTGTGCCTAAACAAGTTTAAACCGGTTCTCTTTTGAAGAATTAATACAAATGTAGTTTTTCTTGGGGGGTCAAATTATCATTTTAAGAGCTATCTAATAACAAGAATAAGAAGACAAATACCCCTTTTATGTGAGAGTAAGGGCGCTTCGTCAACTAACATATGCCCCTTTTTATAATATGCCCCCCCCCCCCACAAAAAAATGTAAATACATGTATATATATATATATATATATATATATAGTATAATTTGTTACCCCGTACCCTCACCCACGCTCTCTCTCTCTCTCTCTCTGTAGTCTACCCTCCCCCCACCTCGTTTAATAATTCAATTCGATTCAAATTGTATTGATTATAATATCCAAACAAATAGGACCAGTCTCAATTTTTAATATTACATGTTTATTGAGCCTGAAGACGAGGCTAAGGAGGAAGATGCGGAAATCACTTGAGGTGACTTGTCTGTAATAGCGGAATTCCGAAAACTAGAACAACATTTTTCACCTTGACTTTTTCTCATAGTTTGAAGTCTTTCTAACGGCCCCATGTCAATCTACTGACTAAGAATGATTTTTTTTTTTTTTGTACAATGAATTTATTGATAAATATATGCTTTTGAACAATTCAAACAATCATACACAATCAATTGAAATAACATCGTAGCATCTTAACATAGTTCAAATAAAACATGTTTCGTTTTCTTGAATAACAGCTGTTTTAACAAAAATGCATAGCTTTTTTGTTTTACAGTTCCTTTCGATCTTTAATCGGTTGTGAATTAGTCTTTTAAAAATACAAAGAATAGAGACTTCATGAATCATGAGTTTGCGATTTTCTGCTTGCATAAATGTTAAATAATCTGCGTATTTTCACTAAGAATTAAATTAGATTAAAGGTATTTCATGCTTACGTAGATTATGCGTTGATTGTATAGAAATGGCGTTTTGAAATTAAATTCCTTTGAAGCTTTTCTTGAATAATGTAGAGCTTGTGTGGTCTAGTGGATATGTCCCCTGACTCTGGATTATATGATTCGTGGTTCAAGTCCCACCGCGGCACAATTTTTTTCAGTTGAAAACACAGTATAATCTACATTTGCCACTTTCTACCCAGGTGATGTAAATGGGTACCTGGTAGGAAGAAATTCCCTGAATGCCGGAGTGCTTTATCAGAGTAGCTTGGCTAATTCCGGAGTGGTAGAATTAAGCGCTTAAAATATGTGACTTTAATCATTAGTATTAGTAGCAGTATACTTAATGTCACTAGTATTTTCATTGTTGTTATTTTATATCATCCTTATCATTGTTTGTATTGTTATCATTGTTATTAGTATTATTAATTATTATCATGTTATTATTATTATTATCCGGCAAACAAAGTGTATACAAAAGAATTACATAGAAGAAAAAATCATACAAAACAAACAAAAATCATTGTTGTGATTCATTCCATTAACATTTACAAGTTGCCAGAAATGGGCCGGGCAAACTAAATCACCGAAACCGTGAAAGTCCCCCCGTGAAAGTCCCCCAATATCATTATCATTATTATGAAAGGCACAACAAAAAAATAAATCATAACAAAGTATAAGATTACATGGATGTACTGCAACACGTATTCGTATATATTTCTTCTTCCCTTTTATCTTTTCCAACTTTCCCATTATTACTCTCTGCTTATATAATTTTTTCATATGCCATTTTCTTTCTCCTTCTTTTTCTTACAGCCCATTGTGAAGAGATTACGTACTCTACACTTCGCAGTCTGTGCAGCAATGTGAATTACCGCCACGTGCAGTATTCCAGCGGGTCAGGTTTCGCATCTCAGGCGGCTGCGGCCAGCATCATCGCACCAGTGGAGAAGATACTGAGGAACCGGGATACAGAGTGCGCTGGATATATGAAGCAATTCTTATGCACGGTGTACGCACCGCCTTGTACCAGACTGGGGCCTGAAGTAGGTAAGAATCAGATGTAAATTAAAGACGCATAACAGTGGACTTTTATTGGAAATTTGACATCATACGGATGTTTACCCGATAACAGGTGCTGTCATGCACCTGGGTTGGACTTCAATTTTATGACAGACAGACCGCATGTAATGATCTGCATATTCTACCAATCGCCTCAATAAACATATAGAAAAGCCGTTATCTTACGATTCCCTTACCCGAAGATTCTCGGAGAGGCTCAGGTGGTATTTCTTGGTGGGACCACGGATGTAGTGTGTGCGAGACATGTAAACACATAATGTTTTTTTCCACAGAGTCTGGTGTCAGCGAATTATGACCAACTGCGAATGGAAAATGAAGATCGATCCTTTAAAGAGGGGTTCTTTTTCACCATTCTCCGTGTCCGTCTCCCACACCCCTTCTCCATTTATGGAAACGTTCGCTTTGGTTTGTCTCTTGAAAGAAGTTGACCACACACTAACTCCCTCACAGTGTTGAGTGCAGGGGTCAGGGGCCATTGGTTTCATCGGGCAGTTAGTTTCATTATGTGAAGCGGTGATTTCCGACAACAATTTCCAACTAATTAAAATAAGTTTATATACCAGAAGAAAGCTAATGATTATCATATTCATTAGCCACTCGCCCCAATGCCGCCTGGCCACAATAGAACGAGTGAGGACTCGCGGAGGCGGCGAAAGTGCAATTAATATCCGAAAAAAGTACAGAGAAAGTGCATATTATTTTGTTAAATTATATTTTTTGAAACGTTACCCAAGTGACTCCCGGGCACCCCAATGCTGGGGAAAAACGCACTTTTTTGAAAACTGCAATTTTTCATGCAAAGATGCTTATTTGTTCCATGCACACAAGGAAGATTGAGCGGATGATACAACGTTTCCATTTGCCACCCCTCTCTCTCTCTCTCTATTCTACCTCTTGCCTTTTCGTCGGACTCTCTCCATTCTATAACTCAAATAAATCTATTCCAAGTTAATTTTTTCATCCATGATAGGATACTTCGGAAACCCTTATATTCAACACTGAGATCATTTCACATTTATCAAATTATTTAATTTCTTTGCTGCCATTTCTTTATTATCAGAACCATTGCTGCCTTGTCGTGAGCTATGCCAGCGGGTCGTGGATTCATGTAACGCCGACCCAATTGCGGGGTTTTACAGTGAGATTCGTCTGTTGAGTTGCAATGACTACCCGTCCATTTACGACGAGAGTGCGATGTGTTACAGTAACGGTAGGTTATTCAACTTTATACCAAATGATATAACATTAATAATAAGCTAATTAATAGCATAAAATAGCGCTAAATACATCGACGATGTCTCTAAGCGCATTAGAGATATAGTGTCACCCCGGTCATGGGATTCAGGCTCACCCGAAGATAATGTATACACAATGCCCCGTGCCCCCCAAAATTTCCAAGATCGGTGGAATTTTTTAGACCCCTTTTTTTTTTTACCCCGATCGATTACATGTATGTTCCCCCCCCCCCCAAAAAAAAAAAAACATCAAACTCTGGCTACGTGCCTGGTCATTACCATTTGCATAAAAAGATGCAAAAGCCTGGCATCATGCATTTTAAGAGCAACACAATTTATTATCACGTTTTGATTTTAAGTCGATCACAATGAAGAAAAGAAAAGTACTATTGATATAAAATAGAGGGAGAATCAAATGCTTGAATTTTACTAATGTCAATAAGTTTGATGTGAGGTCCATGAAAATTTCCTTCCAGAAAAAAAAATCGTCCATGCATTGACTTGTTTCACTCGTTTGTTTGTCACGTGATTATAGAAGGGCAGATCTCGCTTTGGCCTCTCATTGGCGGACGGGGTCAGGTGATCGAAGATGAAGGGTCCAAGGTCAACGCGTTCTGCTCGGCCAGCTGTACGAACTGCAGTCGGCCGCAGTGGTTCGACCCCAACGGAATAGAAATCGCAACTGAGGGTAGGCTATGTTATGTTCAAATTTCGACTTAATGCTTAATTAATTGAACCTTGTTAGGAAGATAAAATGGAATTTTATGGCTATGGGAATTCAGTTACTTTGCTGCATATTGTCCCTTTACAAGGCAAATGGCACAAAGTAAAACATGAAATATATTGCTTCAAATAAATATAAACAATGATCACTAATTCAGGATTATACAATTCTATCATACATTCCGAAGAATATTCATGAATTATATGAGACACGTACGACGTGAAAGCCTTCTTTTTTAATGAAAGGATTTTTTTTTTTTTCAACTACAGACGTAGCGATGGGGCAAAATTACAATTAGTTTTTAGCCGAAAGATAGGGACTATGTAATTTTGGTCTTAAAATGTATGTGGTTGATGTGGATCTGCCTATGAGCAATCTATCTGTCTAGACAAAGAGTTTGGCCCACATTTTTGTGTTGGTCACAGCATGGCGTTTATTCTCTTGTTTTGTGATTGTCCACCAAAGCAATATTCGGCAAATTTTCCCCACCATAAACTGAGTTGGCTTAACTTTGTATATAAATGGCTATGATAGTTTCAAAATGCCCCTTTTTCCCATTATGTCTATAGTTGTTGTTCTTCTTTTCTTAATTTTGCTTCTTCTTACCTTTCTCATGCCACCCCCCCCCCCTCTCTCTCTCTCTCTCTCCTCTCTCTTTCTATCTCTCTCTCTCTCTCTCTCCCTTCCTCTCTCTCTATCTCTCTCTTTCACACTCCCATCTCTCTCTCTCCAATCTCTCTCTCTACTACCTACTTTATCATATCCCCCTCCCCCTTTCTCTCTCTCTCTCTCTCTCCCATCTCTCTCTCTCTCTCTCTACTACCTACTTTATCATATCCCCCTCCCCCTTTCTCTCTCTCTCTCTCTCTCTCACACTCCCATCTCTCTCTCTCTCTCCCATCTCTCTCTCTCTCTCTACTACCTACTTTATCATATCCCCCTCCCCCTTTCTCTTCCTCTCTCTCAACGCAGGGAAGGAGAACAGCATCGGAGAGGTATACAGCACCGATGTCGGTACATTCACCTCCATGCTGACTATTACGTCATTGAATTCATCATGGGTTGGCGAATACATCTGCTTGTTTAAGAATATGGAGAAAACAATGTTCATCAAGTTAAATGGTATGTGGAAAGCTTAACAGATTATGTTCCGTATTATATTAATAAACCCAACCGCTCTAAGAACATGTTAAACAAAGGAAAATCTTTAAAATCAATAATAAGTTGATATTTACAAATGTTTAGCTGACCTTTTTAGTTGCAATACATAGTATGAGAGGAAAATACTAGCTGATAACTATCCACAAATTCAAAGTTTCTCTTTTTTGTTGATCAGGAACACAAAACGTTTCTCAAACGACACCGTCAACGCCGTCTGAAGGAAATTCGACGTCGAATCAGTCAACGACTGCAAACGTAACGATGACTCCCAACGTCACAATGACGTACAACTCCACAATGACGTACAACGTCACGCTGCCTCCAACACAAAACGTCACAAAGATTTACAATGACACGGTGCAGCCTACACCAAGCTCCATAAATGATACGTCACGTAACGTCACAATGATGATGAATTACACCATGGAATCAGGAGCGACAGGTAGGATTTATTTTCGTCGAATTTTCCAATGGTCAGATTGTTAATAAAACCATGTTGGACACAGGGTATGTTTTCTATTGCGTCATTACCTACGCTTATTGAGCTGAACAGGAATTTAGTAATTTAACGCAAACGCAATGCTCGCATTGTTCACTTACACTTACTTACATGTGTGTCAGTAGCTGACGCAGTACTACGTCACAGAAGAAAATGCCTCATAATCCAATATCCCTAGTAGCGTACCAAGCATAGGGTGGAACCATTATATGCCCGTCATTTAACGACTCATGTAAAATATTCATAATAAGACACATTAGGATTCGAAGGTATATTCTGCCCTACCGCCAGCGTGAGGCAAGGATCCAATCCCATACCCCTAGACACTGCATTATTACTCTTGATGTGGATGAATTCATATTGGCTGATTATGTTTATTTTGTATTTTGTTGGATAAACGGCTGAAAGGAACGTTTTATTTTTTCCACCAGCTTGTGTCGTCCTACAGGAAACGTTAATGAATTGGTTCCATTAACTTTCATCTTAAACTTACTAAAAAAGAACTGTGGCAAATTTGGGATTTCACATTTTGAATATCACCCTTATAAGTCGGATGTGGTATTATATTAGTTCACTCTGTTTTCTTTCATTTCTCTATCTCTCCCGCTCACTCTTTCTTTCTCCCCTCTCTCTCTCTCTCTCTCTTTCTCTCTGCCGATCCCTCTTTCCATCTCTCTCTCTCTCTCTCTTTCTTTTCCATCTTCCCCTGACAGATTCGAACGTTACCACATCCGCGAACCTGGACCACAACACCACCAGGTCCAACGTAACCACACTATCAGGGAATGGGACCGCGCCCTCTACTATTTGCCCCGCAAACGGAACCGTTTTGGCGCGCTCCTACGTCATCAATGATCGGGGTATGACGTCATTCTTCAGGGGTTGGGCCGACGTTCAGGGACAGGGGGCGCCAAATGACTTTTGCAGGTAGGCAACGATAGAATTTTACCAAACATAGAAATAGCGTTTTGTTTGTGTTTGTTTATGACCTAATAGTACTTGAATGCAACAATATTTTTGCACTTATATATCTGGATAGAAATATAATCTGCCATCTTTATATTCAGGAACTAAATCTAACTACTATAAACATTGTCATAGTTGATGTTGTTGTTTTTTCATCACGATGAACATCAACATCATTATCATCTTGATTTTTCTCATTGAATCAGTGTCGGTATTGGCATATCATTATTCTATTCAAATTATTACTATTATAATTATTCTATTATCAACGTAATAAGTACAAGAAGAAGAAGAAGAAGAAGAAGAAGAAGAAGAAAAGAAGAAGAGGAGGAAGAAAAAGAAGAAGAAGAAGAAGAAGTAGTAGTAGTAGTAGTATGATTAGTAGGATGGGGAGGAGAAGGTAGAAGAGGAGTAAAATGAGTAGGAGGAGGATAATAAGTAGTATTTGAACCATCGTCATCGTCGTCGTCATCATCAGCATCATTTATAAATATTGATTTGCATTTTCTATCAATCAGGATAGTAAGGGCTGATGGCAAGCCGTTCATGTCTTGTCTTCTCGCTGGTTCGATGGAAGATGACTTACTAGCGTATACCTCACCCAACGCCTCTGAGGAATGGTTTGACCCGGGCTATTCCAATACTTGGTACATGAAGGACGAGGACGGAGATGGACGAGACGACTATTGCAGGTGATTTCAAGTTATTCTTCTTTTTCTTTATTTTTTTTTTTTTGAGGGGTTGTTCTTTATACAAACGTTCTTCAATCAATCACGATATAAGCTGATATTTTTATGTTCATAAAACAGGTGATTTTTATTTGCATAATTTTATCTCAGGTAATGAATATAGAAGCAGCGACATTAAAACAGGAATTATTATGGTGATTCATCGATGACTCCGCTTGGCTACTTCCGGAATAATATCAGTACAGCGTTTATAAATGTATTGTATGTCATTATTATTATAATTATTATCATTATTGTCAAAATATTATTATTATTACTATTATTATTATTTCTATAATTATTTTTATTCTTATCATAAATAATACATAAAAGTATGAGAGCTCCTCCATGATACCGGCATTTTTCATTCAGCCTTTCTCTCATTCGACCACTGCTACTCCCTTGTGCTTAAAATTTGCAACACTTGAATTGTTATTTCCTCGCCACAATTTCCTAATACAAAGAAATCATGTTTTTAAAAAATAAAAATACAAAGACAGAAAATATGGTTTTAAAGTTTTAAAGTTACTAGCTTGGAACATCATAAATCAGATATTTCGGATGTTTGTGTTTGTTTTCTTTTAAAAGATGTTGATGTTTATTTTCCTGTTTATTAGTCAAAGCTTCAAGCGACATTTAAAATAACAAGTAAAGAATAAATTGACAAGATCCCTTGGCCTTTCCGACTTCGTTGCTTTTAGTAGGGAATCCATTCAAGAAATCTGAAAAACTTGATGAACCAAAACACAAATGGGTTTTTTTGTTTCCAAAATGTGTTCACTTTCATACAATCTATCCCGTGGGCCATATTGTAGTGGCTCTATGCTGGTTGGTAATAGGTTATCAAATTACCAATCGATACTTGTTTTATCAATACAAAACTTTTCGATGCTTCCTTTTGAAAATAAAACTAAACAGATGCGTCGGAAGCGTACCGGATACATCGGTTGTGTGTATGAAGGCTGGACCAGCCGGATTCGAGGGTCAGGAGAGTGATTTTACACCGGAAGGTTCACCGATGGATTGCTTTCACCTCACCGCTGACCCTTTCTTTGGATTTCCGTAACCTGTGGAGTAAATTCCAATAACTTTGACATACTTTTTAAATCAAATATTATTAGCAGCAAACATCAAATAGGCACGGGGAGTCTGAAGGAAGTATTACCTCATGAGCCGCTCATTACATTGGCTTGCAGGCCGATCCGTTTGTGGTCTGAAGGCCGGTTGATCGGAAAATACACTTTGCCCAAAAAGTTGGAATACATTTAAGTTTATAGAAGCCTACCTCTTTTCATGTAGTGATTGTGATAATATTTTATTCCTGATCGCTGTGATAAATAAAACACACGTATGTTTGGGCGGGGAGCGTGACGTCAAACGGGGTATATCCAGGAGGTGTTTCATCAAGACCCTAAGGCGAAATGAACTCTAAGTTGGACGTTAAAATCATGGAGAGCCATTTGTAGGCTTAAAATAGAATATACTCAAAAGTGTTAATTCAATTATTTTAGACTTTTTATACATTCCACATCAAGAACATAACATCTCCTTGATAATAGAAAACAATTATGATTTGAATCAACATGTTATGCCTCTTAAAAATAGTTTAACAGAATATTTTTATAGATGCCAACGGCGTTCCATAATTGTTAAGTTCAACTTAGAGAAAAGTTCAACTTTGGATCTTTGTGAAATACCCCCCTGTATAGGCCTATGACTCGTTCGACGTCATATACATCCATATTTTTTTTCATGTTGGAAATATGTTACATCACGTGAGTCATCTCTGACCATTCTCTGGATGGGTATTATTTTTCATATGTCCTCAAAACTGTACTGGTCAATTTAAAAGGTCATAAAGATTGATCACTAAAGTTCAGACAATAATTAACTTTGTTGTCACAACCATTACATGAAAAGAGGTTTTAAAGAAATCATTCCAACTTCAAAGGGAAATTACAGTTCCATTTCGCCCTTGGCTGCAAAGCAGAGAATGCGGATAGGGACAGGTGTCTTCATATTCAGGTGGGGGGTTTCCAGAGAACGGAACAGAAAAAAATGCCGTGGTTTTTTAAAACTACATTTCGTATTTTTGTCATGCTGTAAAGGAAACGAAAGGTTATCATACAATCCCGAATCGTTTGGTATTTTTTTTTTTGTGGCATGTTTTCACGTTTGGATGAACAGGAGGCATTGTTTGCGAGAGTGCAAACATCGACCTGCGCAACAGTATTAAAGTGAGAGAATGAATTGATAAATATGATGATGTATTATTGATATATAATTAGTTGTAGAGAAAAAGTACCGACACCCTAGCTATTTATATAGAGTGCACTTTTGACTGAAAGTGTTTGATATTTTAACGAAATGGTGCTATAAGAGTTTGCTCATACCTCGGGAGTTAATGCAGGGTTTGCCTTCAATCAATGATAAATTATTTACTAGCATGAACATATGTAATGATGTTATTTTCCTCTTCATAAGAGCGTTGATATGATCTTTACAGAATACTTTATATCTAACCGGGGTCAGTTGTGATTGTTCATTGCATTTAAATCGTTTATTTATACATGTACCATGTATATTTTGGACTGATGGGTGACAGAATTAGGCTTGTCTGCAGGCACAGTCTCTATTTTCACTCTAAAAATAATGCCATTAAGCCTTGAGAGTAGCCTACCTCTGTCATTCTTTGGCTGTTTCAAAAAAGGAACTATATATATATATATATATATATATATATATATATATATATATATATATATATTTATATACAATGTATATTACACAGTAGAATATGTAGTCTAACATACAGTTACAGTACAGACACACAACGACTGGGAAGGGTGTGTGCATGAAAACTATTTCTACAGTATTGTTATTTAAGAATACCTATTACCTCATGCATACGCTATAGCAAGTGTAAATATATATTTTACTCTGATGTTTACAATGAAATTTCGATAGAAGAAACAATACTCTAATATCATGATTATAAAGTAATGAAAATACCATTTTATTGTACAAATTGGAGTTGATATCGACTATATTGTCGAATTTCAACGTATTATTTTCATTATTATTGTTGTTCAATTGATTTACTATTTGTTATTGGGGGGCAGTTTCAAACAATACTATTTTCTTTTATGAGCACTTGTAAAGTATTATATGATTGTGAAATATTTTTGTGAGCATTAAATCGATGTATCACTTTTTAAATGTTGGGAACGGAACACGGTTTTAATAAATTTGATAACTCATTCAATATATTTTACCAATACGTGATAATCAAATAAATCGATTTGTAACTTTTCGAAGTCATGGCCTTCATTATGAATTCCTATGACTTAGCATGTGAAATCACGTGTGTATTTTTAATAGACGTGTAATTGACGAGCAGAGAGGGAAGCAATGAGGAAGCATAAGTATATGTGTGTGCGTATGTGTGTGGGTTTAAGCGCGCGTGTGTGTTTGTCTGATTTAAGTAGAAAGAGAGGGTGACAGTAAAAAACCATCGGAGAAAGAGAGAGAGACACACACGCGCGCGCGCACGCACGAACAGAAGGAGAGACAGATAGAGAGAGACAATGAGAGAAGAGAGAGAGAGAGAGAGAAAGGGAAAGAAGGGAAAGTTAAACTCTGGAATCTCGGTGTTAAATCGGTTTCAAGGTTTTCTATTCGTATTCTCATACCCCCCCCCCCCCCTCTTTTGGATTTTGAAATATGATGTATATAACTAGATGTAGGCTGGACGCAATACAACTTATTGGGATCATACCCTTAATTTGTATGTTGATTAGTAGATAAAACAAGTACAATAAATATCAGGAAAGCATTATTAATTTGGGGATCTGCGGTCAATGGGTGAAATAATAAATGAATCAAAACAAACATGTGTTTGCCTTTCTATTTGTTTCCTGTTTCATTACATTGCTGAGGATAATTCCAACAATATGTAAATATTATTAATTGATTTGGAGATTTTTGGACAAATGCTATCATTTTTTACAAGCGCAAGGTCCACGGAACCGGAACAGAACAAATACGTATTTGATAATCATGATAACCATTTTCATGCATAGTCAATGATGCATGGCGGCGTTGTATCGAAAACGGACTTTTTACAATAAAATCGACCTTCGCAAAACCTTCATTTCACCACCATCGCGTGCGTGATTCAAAAATTATTAACATGTCTTTCCTTTTATATTTGTCGGTTACCATGGTTTTTGGTAGGCCTGACGCCATCTTTCACTAATTTCCGCCCTCTTGTTTATATATACTCTCTTGACCACATCAGTAAACATATTTATATTTCAGATAATTCGACATGCTCAGGAGCTCAGCAATGCTGCAAAATATTTCATCACAACAGTAGATACATGCCGTTGGACCAATACAGACAACAACTGGAAGAGGCTGCAAACATATTTCGAAACATTACACATTATTAAGGAAAGGACATCATCGCTGATATGTCGGACAACTTGACTTTATTGTCATATCTATATTTAGAATGAATCAGTACTCTTAGCATTGCACTGAGAGTCGATATTTTAAAAACTTCACGATCATTTGATTTGAGGAACTTAACTATTTCAAGTTGTTGACTTCGAAAAGAATACCTCATCTTCAACGGAATTCCACAGCTTCGGCCGTGTCATCGATAACCCATTCGACCAGGCACTGGTATAGGCCTAGAAGCATCGATGCTTGGAGGCTCGAGTTTTTTGTGTGATCTATAAGTGTCAGATTAACACCATCACCATGAAGTTTCCGATGGATATACTACTGGCATTTCATTTAGTTGTTCTGGGTATGGCAGGTGAGATAACGTCATACTTTCAATTTCTTTAACATTTTTCATAAAAGTCGATTCGCTGATTTCCCTACAGAAGGGCAAAAAACCCTTTGAAGGGGGGGGGTGTTACATTTCTCAACTGTTTGAATTAAAATGCCGAAGTATATCTGTTCAAAGTTTCTACGATGTAAGAATAAAAAAGGATGTAAATGTATTCTATGTAATTTTTGGAGATTTGTTGTTTTCCACACACTGCATTTGTTATATGCGTATTTATTTTTGTTCTCCCTGTTGTCAGAAACATCACCAATAAATTATCTCCCCTGATTCAATTGCCAAGGTTTTTGGAAGTGACATTACGGGCGATATTTTTTGTTGTGGAGAAAATTATTGCTTTAGCTTTTCAATGTATACGTCTTGAAGGTAAATAAAAGTAATGATGAATTCATCTCTAACTCTAACATTGCCGACATGTATAATAGCGTTTAATGCCGGTTCTGTTTTTTCTACCCGACTAGAATAAAAAGGATTAGCGCATAACGCAGATCTCTAGATGGAATGTAGAAAACAGTATTTCCTTTTCCCATTGTTGGGTAAAGAAATACCCGAAAAAATTGCAATGATCAATGGAAAGATGGAGACAAGGACATTGGGGTAGAGAAGAGGTTGATTTTAAGTGTTTGATAGTGGCTAAGCGTGTATAGAGATATAGGGTGAGAATGGGCTCTGGAGGATGAGGGAGACATTGTGAGTATGTGTGTGGGTGCGGGTGAGTGTGTTGGTACATATGTGTGATAGAGAGAGAGAGAGAGAGAGACGGACAGACAGATGCAGAGAGAGAGAGAGACAGAGCCAGAGAGACACAGAAACAGGCAAGCCAAAGTGGGAGGGATCCGGAGTGTGAAAGGAAAAATTGTGAGTCTGTGTGTGGGTGCGGGTGAGCGTGTATGTACATGTGTGTGATACAGAGAGAGAGAGAGAAAGAGAGGCAGAGCCAGAGAGAGAGAGAGAGAGAGAGAGAGAGAGCAAAAGACAGTCAGACACCCACAGAGAGACACATTTACAGGCAGAGAAAGAGAAACAGACAAAGGTAGGGGATATGAAAAAAAAATATTACAGAGGGAGAGACAGAGACCAAACCAGAGACAGACAGATACCCAGGGAGAGACAAAGAGACAGACAGAGAAAGAGAAACAGGGAGGGACGGGGATATACGAAAATGTGAAAGAGAGAGAGAGAGAGAGAGATATGGGAGGGAAGAATAGGGGTTCATATATTTAGATAGGAGATGGGAGAAATGAACAGAGATAATGGTCAGAGAGAGGGAATTGAAGACTTTCTGGATGGCCGGATAGGGGTACAGACAGAAAAGTGATATATTAAACAGATCGTGCATATATGTCTGGAAGAGTGGAGGATCATATCTCATTCGAATGATACCATACATTTCTTTTACAGGTTATCATTAATGCCTTTTTGCATACAACAATCACTTATACCATTAAATGCGAATACAATCCTTCTATATATCTGAAATGGAGAGAGAGTGGCAAATAGAGGGGAGGAGGAGAGAAAGAAAGAGTGAGAGACAGAGACAGAGAGAGCAAACAAGGTTATAACAATTAAACAATACAAATAATGTCAAGGTCTGGTAAATAGTACGGATGTGCTGACGTTTAGTAAATATTAAGGAAATCAATATTGATTGTTTTATGTTGTAATATCAATCCATTGATATGACTCATATCATTCAAGGGCATGCTAAAACACGCAATGTGCAATAGCATTAGCTATATATGATAGCACGGAATTATAAAAGAATCATACCAAATACCTTGCTTTAAACCTATACACCAAAATAATGAAGGAGGTCGTGGGTTCGAACCCCGGCCGCGTCGTACCAAAAGACGTTAAAAGATGGGAGTTGTTGCTACCTTGTTTGGCGTTCAACAATAAGGGATAGAGCAACGTCGATCTGACGCTGCTCAGTGGCTGCCGGGCTCACGATCAATTGGGCAAAATAAATGATTTCCATTGGGGCCGTGTGAAGCAATGTAAATACATGAAATAAACATAAAAATGACAATGGTACATGAAATGAAATATTCAAGACAAACAAGAAATAACAGGATCAAGAAGAAAAAAATGCAAAAAATCACAATTAAATAGTACTGGCGGAAAAGTAATTTATATGAATAACAATGATTATGAGTGGCCAAACAAGAGTACTGTAAATATATACTTCAAACTCAAATTGGTAATACAAATTTCTACTAGTTCAAATAAACTGCAGGAAATAATATATAAATATCTTCCTATTTATCCTTCTAGCTACTAGCTTCTAGCAAGCATATATAATTACGAGAAAGAGAAAGAGAAAGTGAGAGGGGTGAATTAATCGCAAGATTGAGATCGAGTTACAGAAAATCATGCACTATTGGACAATCAAACAGTCAAAAATATAGAGGTAATGTGAATAGACCTATACAGAGAGAGTAAAATATCGAGATGGAAAGATAGATTTGTTTAATGTAGAAGGATATATTGAAACATTTTTAACGAGAGAGAAGGATAAAGAGTGTATCAGGATGTCGTTTATCATAACCACCTTCTGTTTTTGGTGAACTTTCATTGAAATAGAGATCCCGTTCAAAATATGAGTCATAAGCAAACACGCACACCTTTTTTTCTTTTCTTTTTTTCCCTTTTTTGAGGGGTTTGGGTGAATATTATCAATCACTGATTAATAACACAAGTTATCAATCGGAATCATACTGAAACAATGAAATGTTGTTGACTTTGGCAATAGGTCAAATTTAGCATTCCTCTACTGAATAATCATTTCTAAAATCATTTGTGAAGTATCACAAATAAAAAAAAAAGTTTATTATTTATTTATCAAAATTTATATATACATTCGTTCATTCTTTCAATGATTTATTTAGTCTATTGCCTTTTTTCGAGGATCATGCTTCATAATAGGTTTCATAGGTTTTCGCAATTATTGTTTATCATTGTATTTTGTTTGTTATAGCGCTTAGAGACTTCGGTGGTAAGCGCTTTATAAGCACCGTCTTTATTATGTTATTATTATTATAATTGTATGTTTGTATTATATATTTTGATTTACACAACATTGAACAATTACCCGGGAAACAACTTCTCACCACCTCTCCGGACAAGTAGCTTATAGAACAGCCCCCACCCCTTACCCCCCCCCCCCCCCCCTCCCTCGTAGTATGAACCAACCAGACTTTATACCTTTAGAGGACCGAGTTATCAAGTTGTCAAGGTTACTGGTTCCAAACTATTTTGTGCTAACAAAGGGTGTGGTGATCACATGAGCCCCAACACTGAATTTACTCTGCTCCAGCTCTTTGCGGCGGACCTCATGCGCAGGCTGTGTTGTTTAGGACCAGTAACTTGGAGTACGAATGAATATGACGTTAGCAGCACATTTGGTATTACAACTGGTGGGGCCATTTGTAGTGTGTACAATTAAACATCAACATAAGAAAAAATGATAAGACAAATTTCCAAACGAAATAATGAACATATTCTTCCACAGGTTTTGTACAGGCAGACTGTAGCATTCCCGAAGAGACATGTTCACACTGCACAATTGTACTTGTGTCTACACATACCTACCCGGTTGGAACGTACCTGCAGTGGAGGTGTGAAGAAAACTACGTCATGGAAGGACCCTCTGACGTCACAATCTGGGTCTGTGGTGGGGATGGCCAGTGGATCGGAGAGCAACCGAATTGCGAAGGTAAGAAGAGAGAGAGAGCGATAGAGAAGGAGAGCGGAAGAGAGAGAAAGAGAGGAAGAAAGAGAGGGAGAGATAGAGAGAGAGACGGAGAGAGAGAGAGAGAGAGAAAGAGAGAAAATTGGAGCCTGATACAGCATGTACAGAAAAAGAGAAAACAAAAATGAGGGGCAATGTCGATAGAAAAAGGGAGAGAGAAGGAGACAGCGAGAAAAGAGATAACAATAAACATAAGCATAAAAAGGCGAAGTCTGGATTTGTCTAAAAATTACATTACAATATTTCTGTTCATCATCTATTCTTTACAGCTTTAACATGTCCGTCCCCTCCCATACCTGCGTATGGGGGAGTGAACCCGGTGGAGGCAGACCAGTACAGCTACGGTGACACCATAGATTATAGTTGCCTGGACGGGTACCAGCTTATTGGGAGTGATGAAAACACATGTGGGCTTGACGGGTCTTGGGTGAATGAAGCCCCAACGTGTAGAAGTATGAATACTATCTTAGATGTTTTATTATTGTTCTGTTGTCGTAGTCGATGGTTTAATCACTTGACTGCAAAAGCGTGGGTCGTAGGGGCGAACCCAGGCGCGGCACCTGGACCAAAGTATTACGTCCTTGAAGGAGAGTATTGTGTCCATGAGCAAGGCATTTTGTCTACATCGCTCCTCTCCACCCATGTTTTAAATGAGTACCCGGTATTGGGATTATAATAGCATGCCCGCGCGTAAAAAAGGTGATTGGCTGAAATCATTGGCTCGAATATTTCCCAGTGGGGTGGAGAGTGTGCACTCTAAATTGATATTAATTGAATATAAGTAGTTCAAATAAATTGAAGGTACGTCACAGGGTTGCCAATTTGTCTGTGATTGATCGCACCTTCATAAATTCATAACTTTCTAAGTTTTCATAGGTTTTGCTCAAACATTCACTGACCTATTTTTTGATTATTTTTCCTCAGTTTTTGCTTCTTCTAAAACACTATCAGAGTGAATTTCCCCTTTGAAAAACATTTTTTTTATAAGGATCTCTTCATATTTTAAATAGATGTCATTTATATCAATTCTAGTCATTCGATAACATTTCTAAATCCAACAATGCATTTAAATTCATGACACTTTGCCTATAACATTTCCAATGACCGCTTTTTTGTATGTACTTTATTTTGATAGTTTCCGAGACATTGTGTTATCCTGAACTCTATGTCTATGGCGTCAGGCTGTATGACGTCATGACATCGCAGCACAGTTGCATCAAGACGAGTCAGTTGCTCGTCCAAGATACCATGACATGGGATGGGGCTAAGGCCACTTGTCGGGATCTAGGTAGCACTGTCCCAGGTAAAACCATCTCTATTTTAGGTCATACGGTTTATCCTCCCCTTTCTCATTCACCCTTTATCATCACTCTCATTCACGATTTTTCTCGATCCTCATCTATCGTTTTTTCCCCGGCATTTTCCTCTTTAGTTATATATTTTTAACTTTCTCGCAATCCCCTATTCTCTCTCTCTCTCTCTCTCTCTCTCTCTATCTATCTCTATCTCTCTCTCTCTCTCTCTCTCTGCCCCGCCCTTCTCTGTGCCCCTCTCTCCTCTCCCTCTTCCCCACCTATCTATATCTCTCTACCCCCTCTCTCCCCCCTCTCCCTCTCTCTCTCTCTCTCTTTCTCTAGTTCTTTAATATATCGAAATTAATGATAATAATATGTGCATTTGAATGCTCTCTGTTGAACTTATTTTTTTTTTAAACTAACATGTTTAGGAGCTTCATTTATGTACAATTGTTCCTTCTCTCGCTTTCCCTCAATCCATCCCTCTATTACTCTCTGACTTTCTAATCCTTAGTATTTTCCATATCTCATTATATCTCTTTCCCTCTTTCTTTCTCTTTCTTTTGCGCTTTTTACCCCCCCCCCCCCCCCTGTATTTGTCTTTGTACATTCTCTCTCCCTCTCTGTTTCTCTCCTTTTATACCTGCTACGCTAAGGCTTTGACATGAATAATTATCAAATTGTTTTGTATTAAACACTTAACTTCTTTGCACGATGTACATTCCACGTAATTCACCGTTCAGGCGATCATGTTTTTTTGTATAAATACCATTTTCAATTCAATCCCAAAACAAATTTAGGTGAACTGGCGATGATCAAGACAGAGACCATGCAAGAAGATGTACGGGATCTCATCAATCTACCAAAGACACTGGGTTACTCTTTTGATTCCTATTTCTGGATAGGGGTCAAGGAAGGTCGGAATTGGAAGTGGTCTAGCGGTGCGTATTTTCTGATTGCCCTTTCTTGAAAGTGGTCATAAATAAGTTCATAAGTTTATTATTCCACAACAAATGCAGAAAAGGACAACTAACTGAAGTAAAACTGTAGGGCGAGGAAAAGCTATTACAACTCAAACTACAATAAAAGTAAATGAAATAGTGTAGTGAATACATATTGAAGAAATAATGTCAGATATTAGATTTCAAAACTGTTAACTTTTTTTGAAATCTTCACGACTGTTTAAAAGGAAACATAAGAAATGGCAGAAGGGTATTTGTTGAGTATTAACCGTTATGAGGATTTAAAGATAACTAGAAGTTATGCCTGAATAAACCATTGCAAATACATTATGTTAAATACTATGTTTTATGATATAGAATCTAACTTCTATGTTACATGAATGAAAACATAAGTATAAAGCGATATAATCGTAACTTCAGATCATTGTCATATCTAGGTGTTCTAAAGAGAATATGAAGATAACATGACTTGCATTAATTTCGTCTCACAAAACAGGGAAAATCTGTATTAACTTATCATAGCAAAATAATATCGATTAGAGTCGTTCGGTTATTTATGTTATTATTCTTGTTTTTTCTGTCATTTGGGATACTGCTGGAAAGTATTTTCCCGACCATACCGCTAAAAACAATGGTGGCTGAAACTCTGATGTTCATAAGATCTTATCATTTATATTTTCTTCCTTTATTAGCTTTTCGTCCTCTTTCCACGCGTTGTTTTCCATATATGCAGGGATATCAACGACCCTTCTTGCAGATACATAACCTTAACAGGGTGCAATTTGTGTAATAATTTCGTTCCAATTTGAATTCAATAACGCGGTCTGAAGGAAATCCTGAAAAAATAAACGATGCCATTGAAGATCTTTCCCGATTGTTATCTTTCTTATATGACACTTTAACTGAGAGGCATATTTTGAATTGATTCATAGATGACTCGAACATACAGCGCTTGTTCTGGGCCGGGGACCAACCTAGTCCTGGCTCCGGATCCACTTGCATTTACTTAAGTTCGTCTGCAAACTATCTCTGGATGAAGGGCCTGTGTAGCAGAGCTCGTCGTTTCATCTGTCAATACGGTACAATTTTCTTTCGTCTAAATTTAGGAAAAAATATATTACCTGTACAAAAAAAATATCTTTCCTCAATCATTCAGCGACAGACGTTTGAGACTAATAGTGTCTCCGAAAAATGGGTAAAGCTGGGTAAAGATATTTGGCATTTGGTATCCAGAATCGCCATTGTTCATGATTGATTTCTTTAGTTCAAATGAATTGTTCCAACTTGATCTAGCAATAAATCAACCGCAAAGATGATTTGAGGATCACCCTATCCAATAATGTCCAGAGTTGTAGGCGCGCGCAACAACTGCTGATATCATCCATTAATTCTACACATTCGATAAGAAATTATTATTGAATGCTCTTAGCTTTCTCTTGACAGAACTTCTCAAACTATAAGTTATTGTTACCACTGATACACGGACCTCAAGTAAAACTGATTCGAATTTGGAAATTACAGTAGTATTATTACTGTACTACCGATTTCAATACATGGGGGAATTTATCACTCAAATCCTATTCGGTTTTATTTTCAGATGGAAGTTGCAGCGGAAGGACTTCGAATGATGCATTAGTTTTGCTAGATCACCGCCACAAGTGCTACCGGTTCAGCCCCACCAAAGTGACATGGTCCACTGCCAGAGATACCTGTACGACAGAAGGTGGCTCTTTAGTGGAAGTCATTGATGGAAGCCTGCAAAAGTTTTTGACCCAGCAAGCGATAAACATTGAGAAAACCTTCGAAATCGAAGCTAACTGGTCGATTGGAGGTTACGATGATGGCTCTGCAACAGACAGAGCTTGGTTTTGGATGGATAGTAAGTCATTAGAAAGATATTAAGTACAACGAAATCTAAAAGTAGCTTAAAATGCAAACAAACTGAAGCTGTTTCGTCTTTCCACTATCAGAGTGAAATGTAAGAATGGACTGGGAACTGAAATCACGCAAGATAAACGGGAATGTATGTAGAATGGTGGACAGGCCGACCTCATGAGTGCAACATAAAAAGCTATGAAGTTTTTTTCCACCTAGTTCCTACTTACCAATGGAAGCATTTCTGCAAGCGCTCCCGCTGTTGCCTTGGTAATGTTGGTGTCGGTGGTTCCAAGTCAACCTTAGCAACCATATAGCCCCCCCCCCCCTGCCTTCTTTATTTCATACAGAGTTTGATATTTAGTTTTTAGGTCTTGCTGATCATTTTGATAGTGAATATCGATTGGCTTTACTAAGTATCCATTGACACAATCACAAGGTTTCGGAAAAATTAAAGGTCAAGGGTAATTTAGAAAGCCTTTTTCCAAAAAAAGAAAACGTTTTATGTCAGTTTAATGTTTAAATTTTTTTAAAGTGATGGAAAAGGCTATCGAAATCACCTTAGATTGATGTTTCGATTTTATTTTCTCCAAACGTTTACTATTGCTTTCTTCTTCTTCTTTGTTCAGATACAAGGGCTACTTACATGTCATGGAACAGTGGCCAGCCAAGCAAAACTACAAAGAGATGCGTGGAGGTTAACAGCGATATGAACCATAACTGGAATGACAAAGGTTGTAATTCCAGACGACAAGCCATGTGCCAAATCGGTGAGTAATTGCTTGTAATTTGAAATACATGATACAGATGAATTTGTAAGTGTTCTTAGTCTTATAAACGCGGTTCTAGGCCAGTGATGTGGTTCTACAATCTTTCTCAATGATCACGGTTGTATAATACCCCGACTAAGTAGACAGAATCGTATGTGTCCCCGCAAAGTTTGAGTTCATTTCAGGCTTTAGTGGGTTAATGAAAATCTGGGTGATTTAAAGGTCCAACTATCTTACTGCTCAGAGAGCGTGTATATGCTTATAAGTAAGTAAGCAGTGAACCAGCGGATTTAAGTCCTCTCCGATGGACTTGGTGATGGGGATCTACCACGGATCCATGGTGCCTTCCAGTTCTAGTCTCTTTTATAGTTGGACGAAAAGCCCGTCTGTACTAGTTAGGCCAGGGGGTTAGACCTCCCTGCAAGGTCACTGACAGGTGGTTATCTCATCAAATCAGCTCTCAATTAGCATAAGAAAAAGGGGATCACGGGGGACCAACATGCACCAATTAGGCATTGTTTGCTATACAGAGGGCGCAAGTAGCTATATGTACTGCAGTGGGGCTTTAAAGGGATTGTAAATCAAAAGAAAAAAACGTACTCCATAAAGTACAATGAACACCAAAAGCCGTTGTAAAAAACCCTGTTCATAATATTCATTTTGATATTTCGTTCATTTATTACCTACTGCAATCTTTCTACCTTACAGGAATCGCAGCATGTGGGGACCCTGGAGCTCCAACACACGGAACCAGGAGTCCAGGAGACAGATCCACCTTCCTAGATGGCGCTGCCATTCAGTTCTCCTGCGATCCTGGCTACGAACTAGATGGAGCCACAGAGATCACTTGCCAACCCAATGGGAGCTGGGATGGTGGCAAACCCTTATGTACAGGTAAGGGCAGTTACTGAGTGTACGATGGACCCTGGAAAGACATCGTCGATGTCTTTACGACTTTACATTATAAACTTCTTGATGAATCATTTAGAGACGACAAAGTCAATTGCCGAGGGCCAGACAGGCCGCATTTCTATTACATAGATATTCTCTATATCATCATTTTGTTGCATGATAAAACATCAATTTCAAATAAAATGCTTACTGGCTTTTTTTTTCTTCCAATAATTTCTGGCACATATAGCTGTTTATTTACAAAAAGAGCTAGCAATTAGACTTGTCTTTTATGCAATATGCACATTTGACTTCCGAATACGCCATTTTAATTTCAGATAAATTGTTACCGATGTTATTTTCTCTCTCGCTGTAGTGATATCTTGTGGAGATGAACCCCCTGAGGTCCACAACGCGGTGATCATGGTGATTTCACATACCTTCCGAGGGACTGCAGTCTATACCTGTAACGAAGGGTCATTGTCTTCTGGTAACACACTCTCACACTGCCAAGCAGACGCAACTTGGAGTCAACCAGATTTTCAGTGCACCGGTAGGTTACCCGAACAGCTAATCACTTCATTCATTTCTTTTCTTTTTTATTGAATTTATCAAGACAGAATCCACCATGTCATGCGAATACATAATTTTCTATAAATATCCTTAGAAATTTGTTTCCCAGATATGAAAAATACTTACAATACATGCAACAGGGGGAAATTAATACAACAAACATATCGAGTCAAAAATTCAATTCTGAATTGTTTTTGAGACGACAAGCTTCCATTCATAAACAATTTACAATGTGACATGGTGATTTAAATTAGCAGAGAGAGGGTGGATGGGTTGGAACGGGCAGTAGGGTGCAATGGGTCCTAATAATGAGGGGCAGGGGCATCGTGAGAGGGGGTATCTGTTTGATGGTGTCTGTTTAATGCAACAAAGAACACCAAATCGGAAGAGGATGCGGGAGGGTTCCGACAGCTTTTGACGCTTCCTTCCCTTTTCTCTATTAAACCTGTTCATGTTTTGGGAGTGTTTTTTATGTTCTCTAATTTTTCTTTAGTTTATTGGAGGACAAGTGCCCAAGGTTATAGGGGGTGGAAAAGTGACAAAATAAGAAAAAAGGCAAGAAAAAAGGACACATTACACAGTGAGATGTCAAACGAGACACAGTACTTTATTTGTCAATGAAAGTGGCAGTTTTGTGAAAACTACTTTTGTAAATATATTAACGGTTGCGTTGGGCTTTTCTGGAATATGTCGGTAATTAAGATTATTTAATTTATATTTTTCCTCCAGAAGTCATATCGGCTCCGACTACTACAAGACCTACCACAATCCTCACCACTACTACTACTACTCATACTCCTACTACTACTACGACTACACCTACGCCTGAGACGTCGATGGCTCACCAGACCAACATTACTTCAGCTTCTCTCACAACAACTCTACAAACATCAATGTCTTCTTCCGTCTCCTCATCCGCCTCCTCATTCTCTTCCTCCTTCTCTTCCTCCTCCTCCTTCTCCTCCTCCTCCTCCTCCTCATCCACGTCTTACTCTCCTTCACCATCATCATCTTCTTCTTCTTCAACTACTTCTGCGGTGAGACCAGTGGAGCCTTACATTCCGTCAACCACAGCGCCCTCTCCAACGAACACAACGATTGGCTTTATTGAAGGTAATTCAGAACTGCAGAATTTCACAGGAGCATAGAAGATAATGACCAATAATATGTCTTTTTTAAGTTGTTCTTTTAATGCTTATGTTAATGATTATCCAATCCCCCCTCACTCCTACCCGACCAAGTTTCCGCCAATCTCCTCCCCCCCCCCCCCCCCCCCTCCCCCCCCCCCCCCCTCTCCCCCTCTCTGAATCTCTCACACTCTCCCACTCGCCTAATCTCCTAAAATTGGACAATTGTCAGTTGAGAATTAGTACGTCTTAAGAATTAGGTATAGCATGAGAACAGCTAATACCAATTCATTTCATCCGAGAACAGCAAAGTGGGCCTCTTATTTGAAATTTTATAAAATCTAATAATATGTACGAATTTGTGAAATTTCTCCCCCCCCCCCCAAAAAAAAAGGGTAACCTATTGTGATAATAGTCATGATTCGATTTTGCATATGCCAGTTTGCTGTGAGGAAGAAAGAATTTTCTTGAAAAAGCTGGAGAAAGAATTGCTTATATTTGCATAGGCCTACTTAAATCGTTAAATCTATTTCTGTGACTTAACGAAGGCTCAGTTATCTTCAATAATTTTATGTCGTGGAGACAAAACAGATTTGGAAATGTTATGAAATGTTCGAAATTTAATGGTTGCATTTTTCATTTCAATTTCATTAACAGGAAACATTAATTGGCCGAATACTACAGAACAACTTCCTTTACGACTTAACACGATGGGTAAGCTACAGGTTTTCATAAACCTTCCACCAAGCATTTAAATTCAGTAATTTTGGAGGCCAACTACATGTATAAAAACATAGTCCTTATTTTGTACAAATACAAGTACATCTGATATTTGGTTTAAAAAAAAAATCATTTAGATATAATTACGGAAGAGCTACAGATTGTCAGAAAGCAAAAGAGAAACATTGATATACCTTATAGTAACAGATTTGCTTGTCGACTAAAATAAAAGTACAGTATTGTTCTATTAGATGCTCTCCTGCTCAAAGAAATATAAATACATGTGCAGGGATGGTTCTATTTTCGTTAACAAATCTAAACCTAAACGTCGTATTACTATTTCCATTAAAAAACTCTAATATATGGCTCAAGACCGAGGAACTTGGAGAGACACTTGATATAAAATTTTGTTGGGCCACTGTACCTGTCATAAACTGACAGAGCACTATTGATTGAATATATTATGAGTGAAAACCTAACGACGCAAGGAGGTGTTGAATGGTGTATTTAAATATATATCGACTCTCAATATCATATCCACTTTCAATACCTGAAGGGATTGGTATCCTAAAATATGAAAAGGACCAAACTTTCACAAAGTAGATAGTTCAGGTACTACAACCATGTCTAGGCTATTTCGGTTTTTGTTTTAATAGGTTTGATGTCACTGGTTGGATTTCATTAAATGGTCAAAGAAACTAATTAATCCCCCAAAACACGCTCAGATCAGTTACGTGGTTGGGCAGTGGTCTCGTAGACAAGAGGCTCCGGGGTCGAAACTCATTTGATGAGCTAGCGCCCTATGCTGAATCGTTAACATAATATTTACCTTAAGCAATTGGATTGCTGATTGCAAACTTAGAAACACGTGTTTGCTTCTTTTTAAACTGTCTGGTATTATAATCGATCGGCCTAAGCAAGGACTAATTTAATGAAATTGACATTTTCTTCTTTTGCAATTTACAGATTTCATGATACCAACTGGATCTATTTTTGCAATCGTCATTATTGCCATTGTAGTTACCATCTGTATAATAGTGTGGAGGTAAGGAAATATGCCTTTATATAATTTCATAACCAGAATCATCTACCACACAGTAATATACTGTTCCGTATTATAAAATAGTCACAGTTTTAGCTGTACATAGATTATAAACCCTGAGCCAGCTTATGGATATGACACAGTTGGAAACTGTGTACGTTCCTAATCTTAGATGGGGTATACACGCAGCAGCTAAGACCAGTAACACCACATTATATTACCACAAACCATCACATTATATTACATCACCACATCATCTCACATAATATAATATCCCAGGTCCAAGCATTGCGCATTTGAGACTAAATTCATTAATTTCCATTTGTATTAGTGCTCTAATAATTGTGGATAGGTGTAAGTGGCTTGAACGATAGCATTGTCACTTAGGCTTGCATTCTCTGATATCGGCTTTTAGTTCATTCTTGCTCATGAGTGCAAAAGGGAAAGCAATTGTATATTGGCTACTATTTCTCAAAAGGACGGATATTCATTTTGCTCTTTTCATACGATATCGAAGAGTTTGCCCTTTTTATGCTATGTTTAAGGTAGTTAAGGCATTTGTTATGTTAATTTTGTATTAGTTCTTCGTCGTCGATAGAGAGATACGGAATCATCCATATGTTATTATATATTTGCATTGTTCATTCTGTCAACAGAAGAAGACAATTGAGGAAGTCCCGTGATACATCGACGATTGACACACCAACCTACGACTGCATTGGCAACGATTATAGGATATGCTTTACAAAGAACACCAGGGGCACAGTCGGGAACAACAACGATTCCTACATCGGACTCGACCTAGGTAGCATGCAATCCGTTGAAACGGACGAATCACGTTATATGGCTCTGGGCGAAGGCATAACAGGACGTCCAAGAGCAGCTACAGGATCAAGTAGCCCTAGAGGGCGCTCAAATACAGGCAGCAGTACCACAGCACTTGTAGCTGTCGACGACGAAGGTTATGCTTCGCTAAGGACTGGGGAAGTTCGGAGTACTCAACAGTTACCTTACACGCCTCTTTCACGCTGGGGGAATTCTGACCAGAGGAGAGGGCAGAATGTTTCAGAAGGAGACGTGGGTGGTAGGGAGGGTGCGGATTTTGATCAGTTTCGATCTGCTTTTGAAGCTCACCATCGGACTTCAATAGACACGAACAGCAATCTGTATGAATCCTTGGATACCCCGCGGCCATCCATAGACATGGGAGTCCTTCGCAAGCAGGGTAGTCTTGGTGAGAACGATTATGAAGAACTTGAAAACATGAACATCAACCCTAATAATGCTGTTGACCCATTGACAAGCCAGGGCGCCACACCTTCCACTAACACAGCTCTAAGGGACAATAACAAAGGTGACTCATCATACAGTAAAGTTGATGACCCTAACATGATATTCAATGACCTCTATCAGCCCTCCGGAAGTGACGTTGTTCATAAGACCGCTTCAAAGTCGCATTCGCTTGATCAAAGTGACGAACGACGAACATCGACATACGATAAGGTAGATGATACCACCTTGATGTTTAACAACCTTTACGAACCTTCAACTATGACAGAAGAACAGATGCATTTGCATCAAGCCAATGGAAATCTCCAGGCGAGAGAGATGGCTATGAAGCATTACAGAGACAACAGAACGAGACACGTCGACGACAACGACGTTCGCGATCTGCAAGCCCATGTCAGAGGAGACGCTAAAGGTCAAGTCAGTTGTAATAGTATTGGACAGTCAGGTATGCCAATGGCGAACCTACGGAATGACGGCACACAAGAGGAAGCCTCATCTGAACCAACAGCAGACTGTCCAATGTCTCCTAATCCGTATTATTTTAGCCTCAACACTTCCGAAGACAAAGATGCAACAGACCTAGACATTTCAAATATGACAAACGGTGTCACTCCTGCAGGAACATATCTACAAACTACTTGTGTGGAACCGTGTGCCAAGATAAAAGAAGAAAACGATAAAGAACAAGTCGATAGAAATGTTGAGGATGTTGAAGGACGACAATACTTTACCCTGGAACCCTCCAGTTAGACATTTTTTAAATTGCTGATACTGAAGGGTAGTTTCGCATTAGGTTCATCAAACAGAATCATACTCGCTAATTGACATTTATTAGTTCATTTGCATTTCAGATAATCAAGACACATTATTATAAGTTCATGATAAAATAACAATAAAAAGCAATATTTATATTTCTAGTATATATCTGGCGCAGCTAGTATAAAGATGTACTCTACTGCGTTTGATACTAAGTAGCATGTTATTACCCAGGCTATAGCTGAGCCGCCGTGATGAGGCCCTAAAGTATTAAAGCCCCACTTCACTACGTATAGCTACTTGCGCCCTCTATATAGCAAACAATGCCTAATCGGTGCCTGTTGGTCCCTCATTATCTCCTTTTTCTTATGTTAATTGAGAGCTGATTTAATGGAATAACCGCCTGTCAGTCACCTTGCAAGGAGATCTAACGTCCCCTGGCCAAACTAGTACAGGCGGGCCTTAAAGGAATTTCCACCTACCGCGCACCCAATTACTTTACTTGGGTGGAGAGTGACAAACGTAGAATAATGTCTTTTCCAAACGACATTATTGCCCGGTGCGAATCGGACTGCGAGCCATGTTACCTACTGTCCGTTGACGTATCCCCTGAACCACGATATCACTTCCTCTGACTTTATAAATTATACATAGTGACAGGGAAATACACTCTATAATATTATGATATAAACGAAAGAATGAATATGTTAACAATTTACAATTCATGCGCCAAGATCACTTTAACAAATGTGTATCACAAATGAAATTTCATAAGATGACTGCGTTTTCACAACTGTTCATAATATTAAGTAATGGTCATGCAATTTCATTGTGAAAGACACTGTCTAGAATTTGTTCTGAATGTTTCTTTGTGTAAGGAATAGGAAGGTTTTTGAAGTATCTAAAGTATTCAACTACTGACTAAAACCTCGCTGTAAGTTATTGACTAATTTTAGTCATATTTGAAATACAGAACCATTTCAAGACCCATTCGACTATTGGTCATTACTTCTGTAATTCCATTTCACAAAGGAATGAAAATGAGAAAGTATACGATTCATATTTTGTCAACTAGAACTCAACCTCGGTTTTAAATTTTCTATACGGTAAAGTTTTATTGGAGAATAAAGTGTCATGCTTGTTTTCTCTTTTATTTTGTACCGCGAAAGATTATAAATCATGTGAATCATAAATTGTATATTGACGTGTGCCATATTTTTGCAAAGCTGCAATACATTTCCTGGAACCAATTTTAAAATATTCGAGCGTTTCTCTCTGTGAGAACAACAATCAGCTCATTTTCAACTACTGTTAGTGGTCAAAGGTTGTGTTTGCTTAAGTGACACGAGGTTTCAGATGTTGGTGATTAATGTGTTTACTGATTAAATCTACTAGTGACCAAAACACCGTTTGGTAAACAATCGAAGAGCCTTTTCTGTTTGTCTTCAAATATCTATTCCACATGATACCCTAGTTGATTTCAAATAACAAGAAATCTGCAAACTAAGTTTGAATATTCATATATATATATATATATATATAGCCTAGTATGTATGGGGTGTATGTCCGTGTGTGCGTGTGTGTGTGTTTTTATGTGTGAATGTGCGTGCCTATGTGTGTACATGTAGGACCGTGGGTATGGTTGTGTGTCTAAAGAAACAAAAAACTATTTCAAGTGTCTTGGTTTCAATTCCCCACTTTTTATTTATCAAGTACACGAATTTTTGGAAGTCGTCTTCCTCAAGTGAAGAAGGAAGAGATCTTATGAGATGTAATTATATTTATATATCGTTTGTGTTTATGACCTATATGTATACAAATATCAACTTTCTGTACGATTATCATAAAAAGTTGAACCAGAAAAGAACTCGTGTTTACCTACACCGATAAAGAAGTGGTGTTTAGTCCAAGATACACGAAAAGACGGAGAAGAATAAATTACTCACATCCCTACAACTTGTTGCCTCATTAACTGCGTGTCCCGTTCTTCCTCTTTCGAATTGGGAGAAAATGTCTAAAGATACATGCGATGATATAAATTAAGATGATTATAGCAATACTTAATCAGTTTGATGGCTCTAAACCCACTTGTCCCATATTCAAAGCTCTGAGGACAAAAACAAATAACCTCTTTTTGCAATTATGGCGAATTAAGCCACCTACAATAATGAACTGGATATATGCACTCGAACTTTCGTGGGTTATCCTGTTTACCCTGACTTAATTTTGATCTTTTATTCTTGTATATTTGTTGTAAGTTGTAAGCTTGGCGAATAAAAATCAATCAAACAATCAGTCAACCTACGACCTATTTTACGATAATCAGGACCAAGAGCCTCCGTCAATATTCCACAGCGCTCCCATATATTTAGGATATGGACGCTTATTAGCTGTGGGAATGTTTGTATTCAAGTGGGTATGCATAACATGAACACAGGGAATCTAGAATAATCCAACTTGAGGGCAATTTCAACACCTTTAATTGTAGATGGAAATCCTAGAGAATTCATTTTCGGATTACGAGATGCATAATTTCAATGTCCGCACATTTCAATAGGAATGTAGAGTGATATTAAATTGTCTCAGGTTCATTTTTCGATAGACTTTGCGATCTTGCTGGTTAAGAAAGGTTTGAACATAAAAACAGAAGTGTGAGGAAAAAACTTGATAAAAATAATTCAATTGATTGAGAAACGTAACAGACAAAAGGATAAAAATATAACTAAAAACATGAATTCTTTTTAAATGCAATTTAACCGTCACTCTTCAACTATCCAACGGCAAAGTTGCATTTTGTTGCATGTGATTTTCAGAAAGGGATATTTGAAGAAGAAAAAGCTTGGACAGGCTTTGGAAATCCCCTTTTCGTAATGCTTATTAACCTGGACAGTCCAAAGGTTCTGACTGGACAAATCTGTCAGAGATCAAGTCTTACATAACCATGATCGTGG